GACATGAGGATTGCCTATTCGGCGTCAGTTCTGGGTGGATTCGTTCTTAGAGCGCAGAACATCATGGCATACCGTGCTCTGCTGTGCATCGGCTAGTCGGAGATACTCTGAACCAAAGTACAGCATCATCGTTTCGACCTTGTACTTCCCAGGGGTCGTGTAGTTGTCTAGGGCTAGACACCGCGCACAGTGACTGCGGAAAGTATCGGCGACGTAAGTTGCAGGTCCCAAGTCGCCAGGGACCGCTTCGTCTGCCCTTAGACAAAAGAAGGCAGCATGGTTGATCATGGCGAACAAGAGTGCAAGCCAAGTTAAAGAGAATTGACTTTGGTCTTCCCAAAATTCATGAAACTAGAATATGTGAGCGTCTACGCAATAGTTGAGTGTGATCGGTTAACCCTTACCTCTTTCCAGAAAGTAGGCACATGGAACATGCCTACGCGGGGGGTGCCAAGTTAGTAAAGCACGTATACAGTCGAACTTTCAGGACGTACACCAAGCAGGTTCTTTTCCTTCAAAAAATCGTTCAATCAGCCTAGTCGTGATATTCTTTGGCGGTAACAGTGCCATGAGAGTAGTCATGTTGGCCGTTGGGAATGCCCCTGAAAAAAGAAACGGCACGGTAGGTTTCGAGGCAGCATTGCTGGCGGGCATGTCTTCAGGCTCTTCGGCGTCACATACTACATATTTCTTGGTTTTGAAATGCGTAGTGAGCCTGGTGATCTTGGGAGAAATCAGTACAAACATGGCTTAGCTCCTCAATGCTTCTCCAAACTCACGTCGTCGAGAATGGCTTCCCAGTTGGCAGCATCCACATACCGCACCCTGTCCACCATCGGGCCCGCAGTCGTCGGCTCCGTGATTCCCATCAGGCTGGGGGTTTCAGTCCCGCTGGAAGGCTGTTTGGCGCTGACACTAGACGCGCTAGATTCCGAGATCGGGTTTCGCGACATCTCGACCTCTCGACTCCGCATTTGGCCCAGCTCCTCGGTCAGACGGTGCAGCTTGGCTTGCAAAGCCGCCATTTCGGCAGACTGCGGTGTCTGATGGCGGAGAGCGGCATGTTCAGAGCTCGCACCAGGCCCTCCTCTGATCAGATACGGCACGATCACGCAGGAGCTCGCAAGGCCCCGCTTCTCGCACTGGTCGCAAGGATCTCCGCGGTTGCACTTGCGCCTGAGAAACACGCAAGGCTGTCAGATGCAGTCCAAGGCTGTTCAGGTCGTCCATGGGTAAACTCACTTCTTCTCGCGACATATGGTGCAAGAGTACCTGACACGGCTGCGCTTCTTGGAACCCTCGTAATCGGTCGGGTCAGTGCCCGTCGCCTCGGTAGCCATTGGAGGGTATCCGTAAATTGGATCCTTTCGACATCCGAGCTCGGTGTAGTAGACTCGTTTCTCTGAGGCTTACGACTGCGAAAGTGGAATTCGGCATCAAATCCTCCAAAAACCAAACTCGGCTGGGCGTAAGGCGGAAAAAGTCGACTGGTTCATTGACGAAAGTCGATCTTTTGATCAATCACGTTTCCTGGCGATTGCCGCCAACGACGACTCACCAATGGACAGGCATGCCGGGGTCCTGTCATGTTAACGTAAGCAGGCCTGGCCATACGGCGTTCGCTACCAGGCTCGATGGAGACGATGCAAAGGCCCAGAAGCAACTAACATTTAATTAGCGACAAATCCATCTGCCATGCATAATGGATACAAACACAAGCCCTGGTCTGTCGTTGACTTGCCAAGTCATGGCGGAAGAGGCCACAATAGGCCTTGGCCAAATTGCCGTTCCATTCCCTAACCTGAGGGTAGCTAGTCCTCAAATTTTCGAGGAGCAAAAAACGTCGCTAAAGCCACCTTGACAATTTGTAAATGGCAGACAGAAACCTAGGTACTGGACATCATGTCGAAACAAGATAGTCCTGGTTGATACCGAGTTTATGAACCCAAGTCAAGGCCGCTAGAATATCTGGAGCATGGAGGGGGGCGGATGGTCTTTATGTAAAGATGTCCCGGGTGGATTTGAGGGCCACACGTCTATTTAAACTGTGTATCCCATTCCATCGGGACCGGAACATGTCCAGAAGAAGGTGAACCGTCTGACGGCATGCACGTCTGGTGTAACCACGTCGGCTTGTACGCGAGCGGTTGACTGGTCAAGGGGCGAAATCCGGAGTTAGAAGGCCGGAGTTGTGGTTTCTGGCGCAAGATGATGGTAGATTAAGCCGGTCGGCCAGCTCGACAAGGGTCCTCGGCATGCAAGCAGTGGCATTCTCATGCTGTTGGAGCTAACTTCCAACAACATCAGTCCGTGACCACGCACTGCTAATTGGATGGTTCGGAAGGACTGACCCGCCTGTGTTGGCTGACTTGTCGAATATGTGAATCTCAATGCTGCAAGGGAGGACATGGATCCGTTGAAACAAATGGAGAGGTATTGCTTGGTATTGAACCTCGTTGGCGCACCGGATTGCTTTGATCCAATTGGTATTTTAGTTCAAGAGCACGCCAGCACGGTGAGAGCGACTCAAGTCGCTGTAGGGCGCACGTACCACCCTCGGTGAAGGTGCCTGCCGGCCACCTGCCTAGCATTTCAAGCTTTCGTGGCTCTTTCCGCGGGGTAGGTACGGATACCTACGGAGTGTTATTACTAGGCAGGAAGACCCGACTCCCCCCCCTCCCTGCACGGCGAGGTACCCGCTTCTACGTGGGTACCCAGCTTGGTCTGTCCAATAGGACGCTGCTACTCAGAATGACGTACAGAGGAAGGAGGCAACCACCATCGCAATCTTCCGCCAAAAGTCACCGTTATCGTCGCATCGCGGGCACACCATCCTCAACCCAAAACTGACGACCGCGACGACTTCTACACTCTGACTGCTGGTGCTTCACATCTTCTTAAAGTACGACGGGCAGCGAAGGCCTTGTATCGCACAAATGCCCGAGTCACAGCGCTCCGCGTGGTCATCCCGCGCCGACCTTCTCCTTCGACCCGTCGAGCGTCCGGTGGGGTACCTGAAGCGCGCCAGCATCGCGGCCTGGTTTCCCATCCGCGGCATCTGGTACTTTTTGCGCAACAAGGAATTCTACCCGCTGTTCCTCAGCCGCCTTCTGCCGTTATCCATCATATCATTTCTCGTTTACTTCATCCTCTTTACCTTTGCCTTCCTCCCACAGTTTGCACTTCTGGCCATCTTCCACGGATGGGGCGCCTGGGTCAATGCGGTGGTGCTGGTGCTCGGAGAGGGTCTCGTGGTGATCCAGGGTCTCTTTGAGGGATTCTTCGTCGACGAGTGTCGAGTAGATGTCTTTGATGTGAGTTGAATCTGTCGTAGTCTTTGATCGTTGGTATTTTCTTCGGTTTTATGGTACTAATCGTTTCCTCAAGGCCACCCTGATTAAAGAGTCGCAGACAGAACTCGTGGCCCCCCACAGGATCCTCTTCCCCGATGCCCCCACCGCGGTCAAGATGCTCGGCAAGCCGACGACCCCTGCCGCCTTCACCCCATGGTCTATGATCCAGATCATCGAGCTGATAGTCTTCTTGCCCCTCAACTTTGTCCCGGTTGTTGGCACCCCCGCTTTCATCATCATCACTGGTACGAGACTGGGCAAGCTGGCGCACTACAGATGGTTCCACTTGCGCGGGCTGAGCAAGAAGGAAGCCAAGAACGAAATTCGGGCGAGGACGTGGGAATACGTTTGGTTTGGCACGGTCGCGATGATTCTGGAGCTGATTCCGGTGTTGTCTTTCTTCTTTTTGTTGACTACTTCGGCCGGGGCCGGGCTTTGGGCGGCACGGATTGAGGATGAGAAGAAGAAGCGAGCTGTGGACGCTCTCATCGGAGAGCCTCTACCGCCCCCGCCCCCCTACGAGGATGATCCGGTCTAAGAGCTGGTAGAAGTGATTTGAGTACTAGAGTATCTCTTGGAATCAAGCAAGCAGGCAGGCAGACATGTTAATACCTCACTGATAAAATCTAAGTTTTGTCATCGTTTCGGCATGCCTCCATCGCGCTAAACGTGAGCACCATCATCAACTCGTACACTCTTTCCTTGTGCCTTGGGAAGTAGTTTCTTGGGCCCTTTGCCACTTCCATTTTGCATCCAAGGTACCTTCCCTTGATCCCAGCTTGCCATGAATGGCGACATGATCATCTGCCACGCGTGCTTTTCGTCTCATAGACTGGCGTGGAAGGTGCTCTCTTGCTCAAGTTGGTCTACCACAAGGAACCTCGTCTTAAAGGAAGGTAGGTAGGTAGTCGAACGCCCTCATGCTCCTGCCTCCTACCTTACCTAATCCCCTACTCTTCACCCTTCTAGAAACTCATGGCAAGGTGTTTCATGCGTGGGCAAGTACGTACTGAACTTCAAGGCACAATTTCTGGATCCCGGAAAGAACATCAGGAAGGAGCCAGCCCAGTGCCTTGGAACTTGAAGCACTTGGATGTGCGTATCTCAAACTGATATTTGAGGCCCATTGAAAACGACGTTGGGATGTATCGCTCCGCATACCCTTTCCATACACGAAACGAGAGGAAGCGGTTGGTTTAAGAGCAGGCCTTGATGTTGACTGCATGGGAACCGGGGCTTTCTCAGTGAAGCAAGCCGGGTCTTGCTCTACACGATACTACCGACACCTTCCTTCCTCTGTTGAAAAGTACATCGTACGTTTGGTTGCGTCATCGGCCACAGCTGGTCCCAGGACATTGATAAGAGGAAAGAGAGGACGGTGACTTCCTTCTCACGATCCGGCTCTGCAGAATTCTCTCCTGTTCTTCCCCGTCCTACTTAATCCCCCAAGGACCCCCATCTCTGCTCTTCTCTTCTTCTCCTCCTCTTCATCCTCTCTCTCATCTCTTTCGCCCCATTCCTTTTCACTCTATGTTGTCATTGTCTGTCTTGTTCGCGCCGTTCTTTGCGTATTCAATCCGATCAGCGTATCCTACGTATTCTACGTGTTCTTCCTACACCTAGATCCGGCGTCTCCGATTGCCCAAGATGCGGGCTTCCCTCTTTGCCATGGCGGCCATGGTGTAAGTCTTTTCTTCCTCTCCATTCTCAGTCGATTTTGAAGCTGACAATTCATCTCAGTGCTGGCACTTATGCCCAGCCAACCTGTCCCGCAGCGGCGACCACCACGGTCTTCATCACGGTTGACTCCAATAACGACCCTAGTCCCTCGATCGTTCTTCAGACTGTCACTGCAACCGTTCCCTTCTCTGCCCCTTCCCCTTGGTCTCCTGCCCAGTCTGGTTCCCCCGGTCTTCCGGCCACTCTCACTGTCACCATTGACAGCTACGATCCCCCTCCTGGAGGATCTCAATTCACCGGCCCCAAGCCTTGGGAGTCTTCCCCTGCTACAGGTGCTCCTGTCACTGTTGTCACTGCTACTGTCTACTCTCCTGGTTCCGGCGACCCCAACGGTGGTTCCCCTGGTTCCCCTGGTAACTCCGTCCCTGGTGGTCAAGGAACGACGACTGTTACGCTTCCTGGCCCTCCTGGCGTTCCTTGGAACCCTTCCCAGTCTGCTACCACCGACTGCCCGTTTGCCACTAATGACCCCAACGGCTCTGGCAGCAACACTGCGGGTGTCACAGTGATCACCACGACGCTGTACAAGACAGACGTCAATCCAAGTCAAGCTACACCCGCCGTGGACTCCGTTGTTGCAACCTTCACGGTCACATTCCCACAGCCTGCCGCTACTGGGTCTGTTCCTGGCTCTGCTGCAACCGACGGTGCTGTCGATCCTGCATCTGGCGAGCTGTTCACTTACACCTTGACTGCGCCCGCTGCCACTGGCCCTGCCGTCACCAACGCTCCTTCTGACCCCCATAACGGCAATGGGGGTTCTGTCACTGATTTCACCACCACTCTCTACCGGACTCGTCCTGACTCTGGTCAAGGAACGCCTGTCGTCGACACACTTGTCACCTGCTTCTCTGTCACTTTCCCTTCTGCAACCGGCACTGGACCAGTCACTGGTGTCCCTGCAGCTTCAACTCCCGCTCCGGGAAGCCCTAGCAGCGGCGGCTCTGTTAGCACCACGACTCGCTACATTCCCACCATGGTTCCTGGTCCCGATGGTTCCTTGAGCTACTCCGTCCAAACCGTTGTGTCGACATTCACAGCTCCCACTCCCGGCTCTCCCTCTACAGGAAGCTCAGGTGTCACAACTGTCTATCTTCCTGCTAGCCCTGCTGGCGCCACCACCGTGGTTGTCCCTGCCGGTCCTGCGGGCGGTTCAGCTGGAGGGGCTTCAACTGTTGTCACCACGACTCTGTACGCTTCTCAGCCAACCATTGGCAATGGAAACCGACCTACTGATCCTTCGGACCCGGGCAACGTTGTCGTCTTCACCTTGACAGTTCCCCAGTCTCCTGCCGGTGGGGCCTCGACTTACACCACCATTCTTCCTAGCATCCCGGGAGATGATGGTTCTGCTAGCCCCAGCTCTGTCTCGGTTTCCACTGCTACGATTGTCCTGACGTTGCCGACGCCTCCTACAACCCCCGGAGATACCACTCCTCCTACAATCCCCGGCGGCTACGGTGACCCTGTGCTCCCTGGTGCATCTGGAAATCCTTCGACTGGTATTCCCGGCTCAAGCACGCCTGGCTCTGGCACCCCTGGCTCAGGCACCCCAGGCTCAGGCACTCCTGGCTCAGGCACTCCAGGATCTGGTACCCCCGGCTCAGGTGCTCCGGGCTCAGGCGCTCCCGGAATTCCGGTCACAATCACAGTTCCCGCAGGTGTTGGCCCTACGGGCACCAACGGTCTTCCTGGTGGTGGAGTTCCCATTACGCTCACCATCCCCGCGGGCGGTGTCTCCCCTACGGATACGAATGACCTGCCTGGAGGTGGAATCCCCATCACACTCACAATTCCCGCGGGTGGTGTTTCCCCGACAGATACGAATGGTCTTCCTGGCGGCTACACTGATCCGGCTCAGACTGGCGTCCCCCCCTTCGGCGGTCTACCTGGACCACAGATCACTGTCACTGTTGCTCAAGGAGCTCCTGATGGGAGCGTTCCATCCACTGGCGCTGCTGGCGTGCCAACTTCAGTCATTGGTAGCTACTCTGTCCCTATCGACCCTGCAACTGCTGCTGCCGGCTCTGAGAACTCGCCTACTGGCATCACTCTCTGGCCGGCGCCATCGACGGTTGACAATGCTCTTCCTGGCGCTGCAACCTCGACTTCATGCACCAGCTCCGAGACCACCACATCCACGACTGTGCTCACAACCAGTTTTATCAACGTCGTCGCCGATGAGACCACCACGTACACGTTCCCTTACGAGTCTCTTGTCACAAAGGTCGATACCATTGTCGCATCAGCCTCAGATGTAGCTGTCACGGGCGGCGCCGTAACTGGTGGCGTTGTCACTGGCGGTGCTGCTGGCTCTGCCGTTGTCTCCACCATCATTGGTGTTTCCACCATTCTCGGAGTCTCTACCATTGCTGGTGTCTCCACAGTCGGCGGCCCTGCCGTAACCGCATCCACGGCCGAAGCTCCTGCTGTCACCGTCTCTCCTGCCGTCACTCCCGCTGTCTCTACTTGGCAGAGTGTCGTCGTTCAGAGCTCTGTTGTCCAGATTTTCACCACCGGAGTCTTCACCTCTCTTGTACAACCTGGCGGGGTTCAGAGGCGTTACGTCAACACAACTGCAACCTTCAGCACACCCACACTGACGCCTGTTGCGACGCCCATCTGCACTGGCACCACCGAGGTCGGCAACCAGGTCCTCGATGTAAGTCCCTGCGCTACTGCTGTCTCAAAATCTCATTCAATTGCTGATTCTTTCCACATAGTTCGATGACGTCTCGTCTGGCCCGCTCTTCAACCCTTACCATCGGTTCTGGTTCTCCAAGGGCTTCCTTGTTGGTCCTCCTCCGCTGATGCCATTCCTGCCCTCCTCTGGCGGCCGTCTCGTGGAGTTTGTGCCTCCCGTTCTGTCAAACACGTCTTCAGACGACGTCTCTGGCGACACTGCGCAGATCGGCATGGGAAAGCTGGCGTCTTCTCCTTGCTTCCAATTTGACTTCTTCGGCATGAACCTGGGTTGCCACTCCGACTCCGTGGTTCACAACCAACTATGTGTCTTCACTTTCACTGGATACAGATGGGATGCAACCAACGCCACCGAGACAGAAGCTGTCAGCCAGAAAGCTTGGGTCAACGCTTGCAACCAGTCTTCCGGCTGCCCACTCACGCCTTTCTCAGCTGTCGATTTCACCGACCTCAGCTCCATCCTGATCACTCTGCAAGTCGATGGCAAGCCTCAGGTTTGGTGGTCTGATGACATCCGCGTCGGCTGGAGCAAGAATGATTGCGCGACCGCCAATTGTCGACAGCAGTTCCAGCCAGAGAACCTTCAGCTCCATACAGGTCCCTTCTTCTACTGGACCAGCTCCGGCCTGAGGGTTCTGTCTTCGTCCAGAATTAACCGGGGTTGAGTGTTCAGGAACACATGATGATTACAAGAATGAGTGCAGAAATGGTGGATTGAGAACTGTTGTGTTGCTACACGATTTGATCCGAATTTCTTGGGCGGTTCATTGCGAGCCGGGATGTGTGCTGAAATGACCATGGGAGAAAGGACCACCTACACCTATGTATGCTATTGCTAATATTCTACATGAATGATTTTGGAGGTCCCATAATATTGTCCTAGTCTCACCCCGCTTTCATGTGTTGATTAATACGCAGTTAAGTCTGCCACCGTGCTATAACGTGTGAACCAGGAGTGGTCGTCGTAGAGTGATGATGTGCAGACGGAGCACTTGCATCGCCATGCCCATGTTTAACGCGGCGACGTCGCTGCAGGTTCTTGAATTCGGCAAAGTCCAAAAACCTCTCGAGGCTGTACTGATAGGCAGGTACGGCAACGATTGAACTTTTTTGAAGGAAGCGGAGGGCTGGGATTGCACGACAGGTCTGGAAGCTAAAGTGTGGGCCGACGGACAACCCAGCGAGATCAGCAGTACGCCAGTCTCCAGTGAAACCTACAATAATCATGGATAAGACGAACAGCAGCTGGAAGCCTTCAGATAAGACATTTTCTCTTCAATCTACTCTACTTCAAAGTCCCATTCTATCGATTCCGCGCGCAAGTGCATCAATCTCTGCCGCATGTCTCACGCCTTCGGCCGAAGAGTGATTCCGGCCGCCGACCGGAGCGTTGCATTCTGGGCAGACCGTCTGTTGCATCGCCATACCACATTCGCCAATTGTGAAGGGGTGTCCATTGCGGCATGTGTACCAGTGGCCTGTCCCCGAAAACTCCTTGCTCATGGCCGCGTAGACAGCTCGCATCTCGTCGGTAGAGACTTCGCTGTAGAAGACGCCGTCGTGGAGCATGCGCCTCGCTGTCTCGACTTCAAAGGCCAGCGTCGCTGCGGACGGATTTGCTTTGATGATCTTCTCAGCTTCTAGGAGGTGGCCGTCGCCGAGCTTGATCATGCTTGCTTTCGTGGATGAATTTTCTGCTTCAGGTGCCTCTGGTGCGTCAGTCGTCGGCTCAGCCTCGTCGGGCGGTGCAAAGTAACAGAACATCGCGAGGCAGATGTGGCCTTCGACTTCCAGCCGGGAATAGTTTCTCATTCGCGCATTCTCAATCAGTTGCTTGCAGTCCTTGATGTATGGCATGGGATCAATGCTGGCGGATTTGGCACCGTCGCTGTCGTTGTCGGTCGTATTGCAGCACAGACTGATGTAGTCAGAGACCAGGAGGAGATCACACCGTAGCGAGAGCGTCATGGCGTCCAGGTATCCACCCATTTGGATTGCCGACTCGTCAAACGAGTAGTCGCTGGTTTGTCGCCGCTTGTTGACGTGCCATACCAGGTGTGCCACGCGCTGATACGGCTGCTCTTCTTTCCTCACTGACCCGAGGAAATCGGCGATCTGATGTCGGAGCGTCTTGAGTACCGCGTGCCTGGTATTTCCCGTGAGCTTGAAGAGATGGGTCATTTGTTGCTGCCGAGACCCTCTGAGAGCAAATGTCGACTGGGCCATGGGAAACCCCAGCTGCGTTGTAGGAAAGCTGAATTTATTCTTCTCCATCTTCTGCAGGTTGTCTTGTGCAGCAAAGAACGCGTCTGTCAACTTTTGCTTGACACTATGAGCCCAGCTGATGAACTTTCTCGTCGACTCATCAAGAAGACCACGTCGAACGATTCTTCCATATCGGGAGATGTTTCTAAGAGACCCTCGGCAGTCGGGGCACACCTTGATGTTAGTTACCGAGAATGGATGGGAGCCAGATTTGACGGCCGTCGGCACTCCTTCAGGCGAGGCATCGTAAAGATCCCGGAGACCCATCTGTCCGTCCATGGTCGTGTAAGTGTAGAAATGGCCGCAGTCTGGGAAGATGCAGGGTTCCTCGTCCAGGTCCACTGAACGGTAGTCATCCATGAGGATAAGATCGACCACCCTGTTCTTAATGTCATCTGCGGCACATGTCTGGCAATACCTCTCGGCTGGACAACGTTCACCGCAGACGGAGGGGCCTTGGCACTGTCAATACGTTCTTACTTGACCAGAAGAAAAATAACTTACATTGATGTCCGCACTTCAATACCTCGGCACACCGCTTTGTGCAGGGAATCCAATCACAAGGAGCGGCGCAACTATCATCGCAAGTCAGCAAACATTGAGAAGTTCCATCATCACAACGTGACGTGTACTCACGGCATAGTACACTTTGAGTGTGGGCATGAGGATGGGCACGTCTCCTCTGCGCACGGTGGGCAAGGCTCGTGGCATTTCTTGCCGCACTTTGAGTGCACGCATTGGTTCTGGCATGGAGATGAACACGGAGGGCAAAGCTCATCTCCATGGCAAGCTGCTCGACAAGAGTGGCTGCAGGATGTGTAGGATCTGCCACAGGTCTGTCGACAAGCTTTGTGATCCTCCTCAACCACCTTACCATCTTTTCTGATGCGACATGCCGAGCATAGCGACTTACATGCGTGGCCGCAAGGCCGCTGAAAGCCACACTCGGTCCTGCAAAGATAGCTATCCCTGGTAACGTCTACGTGGCAGGACACCTTGACAGCGTGAGCGCATCCGGGCACCACTTTGTCGACTTGCACGACACACTTGATCACAGATGGGTCTTGAGCTTTCCAGCAAGCGACCGTGTCAAGAGTGTGACCGCAGGGAAGCTTCAGACCAACGCCGTGCAGCACCTCTGTGCAAAGCTTGTCGCAAGGCTCTCCACAGCGTCGGCGGCAAGGGTGGTCACAGTTTTCTTTTGGCCTGACACAGTCCTCGAGACATTTGATGGCGTTGTGAAGGTGATCGGAGTGGCAAGGGCCAGTACAGGCGTGGCCGCATGCCAGCCGACGGTCACACCGGAGTTTGCACCCACCATCGGGAGAAAATCGAAGGAAATCCTCAGGCTGTGACACAAAGCTCTTATTCTGAGGGTGCCGCGGGCATTGTAGTTCCAACCTGTTGCCGAAGTTGCCGCCGTTCTGAAGGATCTCCGTGACTTGCGCCCACATCGGGACGTGGCTCGAGGTATGTGAATTGCCAATGATATACATGCCGTGCTTAGCCCGAGATAGCAGAACATTGATGCGGTTGGAAGTACTGAGGAATCCACACCTGTTATCGTTATTGCTGCGGACAAGTGAGATAATGACAACGTTGGCCTCCTCGCCTTGAAAGTTGTCAACCGTTGCGGCTCGAACACCGCTCAGAGCATTTGTCTTCGCAGCTTGTCTCACAATCATTAGGCTGCCCTGAGAGGTAGAAGCAGGTTCCATCTCAGCAAGATCATCCATATCCCGGTCATTGATGACGATCTGCATGACGGAGCTGAGCTTCTGTCGTAGCTTGTTCAGTTGTCCTAAATAAGGCGTCAAGACGGCAATTTCCCCAGATTTGTACACACCCTGCCTTAACAGATGGGACACAAGCGCCGAGACAAGCTCAATCTCGAGATCGTTGGAGTACGACGTCTCAGCAGAGTCCTGATCAGACTTTCCCCCCGATTCCGGGCTTTCGTGGTGAAGCCAAAAGAGCCTCCGAGCCATGCCAGGGATCTCGGGGTAGTCTTGCACGTTCTCAGAGTCTGATAAAGATGGGTACAGTGTTGATCGTACTAGTTCCGCAATCGATGGGTGCATCCGGCGTTGCGTATCGAGGACACTGAACGGGATCCTCGGGACGTTGGGCAGTGGTTGAACAAGTCTCTCAAAAAGGGACACATCCAGAGAGTATTTGACGCCCGCCGGGTTTGCCCGTTGGAGTCTCCAGTCTTGTATCTGAGGGCGTAACTGAAGATGGTCCCCGATCAGAATGGCGTGCTCGATAGTCGGCAAGAGCGCGGTCAAAAGATGGGCTTCCAGAACTTCACCCGCTTCCTCGCACACAAAAACCTTGCCGTGCACCCGACGAAGAAGATCAAGATTGGTGGCGAGGCCGGTGGTTGTAACACCAATGATGTTCGCTTCTTGAAGACAACGCAGATCAATGGAGCTTCTAATTTTGCTGTTGTTGTCTTTGTGTTCCTGGTAAACCTTGTGCATGTTCGACAGCGAATCGATCTCTCCTCTCAGCACTTCGTCAAGCCATCCTTGGTAGAGCAGGATGCGTTCCTGATGGTAGAGCTCGGATAGCTTCAAGTGGCGCAAGTGCCGAAGTGGGCGCGTCGCATTGGTAGACAAGCCGCCAGCGAGCCACTTTTTGAATACATTCCCGCGTGAGTAGGATACCGTTTGCCACCCCTCTCCTTCATCCTCAAAGTTCGGCAAGGTTGGCCCCATCAGCTCTTCGTATTGGGCAGGGTAGCGTTCGGCAAGGTGATGGCGTATCTTTTCGTTGTCTTTACTGAAGATGAAATTCGAAAGCGTATCGCGAATCTGGTCTGTGTCGCCGTCCAAAGTCTCGACAGATTTGTAAAGAGCCTGACCTTCGGCAGCCGTGCGGGTCATGTCTCGAGCCACCGCTCTCAGATTCACAGGAGCCAACCTGTCGGACTTGGATCGGGAGCCAATGCGAATTATATTCTGGACACCACCATCCAAAAGATGCTCCAACAATTGGTCCAAAGCATGGTTGGTGTAGCAAACGCATATAATAGGCCCCAACCTTGCCTTCGATTTGTTGGCAAGCAAGACTTTGATGAGCGCTTCTCCGGTATAGCTCTTCCCTGTACCTGGGGGACCTTGAATCAGGGCGAAGGATCTTCCGAGTGAATTAAGAATGGCCTCGGATTGAGTCTTGTCAAGACTGGAGTGCCTGCTTAGACGCGATGGATTGATCGCATCGCCGGGAGTGTACAAGAGTTTCCTGCCATCATTCGTCAGGCAGCTCAGATCAAATGAGAAACCAGGTCGCCTGGAGTAGAGCGGGGGAGGATTATCCGCTGGTCGACTCCCAGCACGAAGCGTTAGAAGGTCTTGAAAAGGAAGATCCAGGGTCTTTGACATGTTTTGCAATGCCTTTAACGGAGGGGTGAAAGAAGCCAGTAGAACAGACGGGAATTCGAGAAGACGACGATGCTGGCGGACGACCTGCATGGTCTTGAACCACCTTAGAGATCTCTTAATCTCGTCGATTCCTGTGTCGACTAGATGTAGATGTACGTAGGCGTGGGTTTTATCGTCAAGCAGACTGTAGCGCGGGGCCTCGTTCTTATGCTCCTCTTGGTCATCTCCTTGACCCTGCTGGCTCCCGTCTTTGGGAGTTCTGATAGTCGACCTTGAGACCTGGAAGAAGAAAATACCGCCCACTTCATCAACAATACAAACAAGAGCTCCATCCATCAGTCTCTTTCCTGTCCACCAAGTGCCGCGCTGCAATTTGTCTAAACCTATTGTGGGTCGAGGTTGATCAATTTGGACAATGAATTCAAGGCCTGACCATCTGTCGAAGGCCATGTCGACGGCAAAGGCGTTGTCGTAGGCCACAACTCGTGTTCGAACATCTCGCATTTTGACGTTCGACTCCACGGTTGTGCGAATGGCGCTTCGTAAATCTTGGAGTGTGTCCTCGCGCAGAAGGCGGAAATGCCGATCCAGCAAACCTCGCAGGCCTTGCAAATGGTGCTGTGCGGGGTTGGCAACCGGCAGGTATTCGTCTCGAGAAGACATGATTTCTTGGTGGGTAGGCATGAGCTTGATATCCGAAATATCCTGGTGGTCATTGTCGTGGCGCTCACGGCGTTTGGAGAGTTTTCCAGGCAAGTCCTGGCTGAGAGTGAATTCGGCCATGGCACCAGAAGAAGCCGAGATATGGACAGCGTCAACCAGAGTATGGCCGATACCCAGGCGGCGGCAAACATATTCGAGATGTCTTGTTGCTTGCAAGGTATGGAAGTCGCTATCTTTATTGCCGAAAACATCTAATCGCAGCTTGATTCCTTCGACAATGGGATGAAAGAGGGCATTGACAATGTTCGAGGTGCTGGTGTTGATGACCTTGGCCAAGACGCCACAGGATAGAGCAAGTGCTTCCATGGCAGAAACGCCCGTGTCTTCGAAAGGCAACTCGTACCAGCGATCAACGACATCGAAGACAAAGTTGAAGAGGGTCTTCAGGCGTGTGGCGTCGACTCCCAGGAGCAACCGATAGAGCATAGCCGTTTCCTGTTCAAGGACCACAGAGTCTACAACAGTCGGGTGGAGCAAGACTCGGAACAGAGGCGAAATACGCGATTCCCAGAGAAGAGATTCGTCCTCAGGCGTTTTAGCTGAAGCGACACCCTCAATGACATCTCTGACGAGCGGCAGCCGACCGTCAGCGGCCATCTCCTTGACGACCTCTTGCGCCAGGCTCACATCTTGCTCCACCAGACTGAGAGCAGTGCGGAAGAAGTTCGACGTAGTATCGTCCCAGAGCAGCGAAACCTGTCTCGGCTGAGGTCGAAGTCGTTTCCACTGGAATAGACGCTCACGCTCCGGGTTACGCGCTCGGCTTGAGGCATTGGCGGTTCGGCCATCGATTCGTCTGGCATTTGCTGGTGGGTCGTCGGGTGACGCATTGCTAGTTTGCCACTGACCTTGTTCTCGACGGTCGGGCTTGTTGCCTGTATCGTGAGAGAATTTGCATCTTGAGCCAAAGCCACAGGTTCCGGTCCTCAAGTAATAGTGGCATGGACCGTTTGTAGACGAAGCCGCTCCCGGGCGTTTTCTAGCGCACGATAGACGTTAGCTTCGAGATGACGGACTATAGACCGAGGCGGTGGCCATGACTCACCCATTAGTTCTCCACATCTTCGGGCTCTTGGTGAAGAGTTATTGTCAAGATGTTTGTTGATGATTGGTATCAAGCATCCGCTCCAGAGTGTCGATAGGCTGCAGTAATCCAGAAAGACAAGCCGGCAGAGGGGGCATTATCGAGTGCGAGAGCAGCCTCGTCCTTATGAGGGACCGACTCTAGGGCATGGCTCAGCCAGCTTCTTCTTGGGCTCGTTCATCTACCAGACAAAGCTATGGCATTTCCAACCAAAGAAAGGTCCATGCAGCAGCTTCAGGAAGGCTCTCTGCACAAGGGACCAGGCACCAACCAAGCAAAGCCTAGAAAATCCATTGGTCAAATCGACCGTATAATGCCGGGGCTCTCGTGGTTTCAGGGCTTACGGGTCGACGTTGGACGGGCTTGCATCGCGTATTGATAGGAGACAGGCATGGTGTTGTGGGCACCCTGCAGCGAAGAAGCGGGAGGCCGTCAACGCCAAAGTATGCGGCTGCTCCCGCGGCGAATGGGAAGGCGGCTCGGATTGGCGTTCCAAGACAGCCATCAAAGGTAAACGGCATGCCAGGGAGAAGTCAGCCCAACGGTCTCCTGGTTGGCCTCGGGTGCCGTCATGTCGCGGACCAACATTGTGCTGCGGCCGTCTCTGGCTGCCTGGCAGATGTTGGGGCTGAGGTGGTCGGAAAATCGGCCGGCAGGTGACCGGGAGGCCAAGATGTGGAATGAAAAAGTTGAAAAACACTGTGACGGAACTTTTTGGCCGATTGAGAGAAAGGCTCACGATAGAAGACGGGTTTGTAGTCGTCAAATGGGAGGTGAAGTGAGTGAGACGAGGTTACTTGTAGAGTCAGTCATACAGTGGTGCCGTGCGGGGCGCGACCAATGCCTGCATCATTTAGTCCTGGTCAAATTCAACGACAGCCAGGTACCCTAGAAGACTACCTTCCGTGTCTGCTTCGACCTTGACCACGATTAAGTCAACAAATTCCCAAGGGCCAGAAACAGGTCAGCATCCGGTCAAGGCCAAACTTATACACGGCCCAGACACCACAATTGTCTTCCATTCATCCCTCAGGGCGCGTGCAGGGCTCGGGGCACAAAGTAGCAGGATGTCCATCGTCAGCCCAATGTTTGAGGTTTTTGCATGTGCAAACTACATACGTCCACTCGGGGTTGCGGCATTTATCCAGGATTGGGATCTGAAACTCGAATATATCTAGGTTCTTGCCGCCTTCCGCATCGCCAATTCTGCCTGCGGTTCTGCCTACGGGACATTCCTTGCCAGGACTCATCCTTCCTAGGTGGCCAATGACACGGAGCACGCTCGGGATAATCAGCATACTGCACAGCCAATGCTTCGGCCCCGGCGGTGCCCCCTGCTCACCACAGTTGCCGCTAACACATTGCACAAAGGAGTACGTGACGACGTGACGGTCTCCGAGACGGTCCAGGTAGTGCCCACTGTGAGTACTTCAGAGACTTTGATTCCAAAGTTGGCGCCTATGGTTCATGAGGTACCCATCGAATACGTCTGACTGACGGTGATTGCTGGGCCAGCCAGCGCAACTTACTGTCACCACCTCCCACAGAAAGACCGACCTGCCATCGTTTTCCTGAGACTTCTGTCATGTTATCGACTGCTAGAAAAACGACATGGTAGACAATACCCGGATGAGGAAGAATGATCTGGGAGACTGCTAGGCCGGTGGTTGAGAGGGGGGCAGATGCGATCGAAAACCACACAAGCAATGCCATGATGACACGATGAGCACGGACAAACAGGATGAGCAATGGGCAGATACTACACAGCTACCTAGAGTGCTACCATTCGTTCAATGTATCAGTTTGACGTCTGCAACTTTTGCTCAATTGGTATCCTTCCTCCTCATCGAGACATCTGGGCGCAAATAATGGCGCAGATAAACGCAAGCGTCACATGGATAGGAAGTACACTCAATACCCGTTTCGGCTCAATTTGGCGATATATTGTTCCACAACTCAGAGTGTCTGCGGTTAAGGAAGGCCATCTTCGACGTTCGCGGTAAACCTCTGCGCTCGACCTTTCCGGCCGGTGCCACCGTGCAACCTGCCTAGGTACGATCGCAGATCTCATTGTTCTTCTTACATTAACATTGATATACTGAGTGAAGCGCCACAGTCCCGTGCGAAATACCCCCATTAGAAGGGTTCTACAACACCAGCATGAAGTTTCGCTTGCACTAACTTCATGATCACGGATGAATCGTATAGGGCTCAATAGCACGCCATAATACAAACGTATTTATTCCGGAAAGGAGCAGCTGAACAAGCAGTAGCGGCAAAAGCGAGAACCAAGAGCCGAGAACACATCTAGTCATCAGGCTCTGCGGATTCAAGTCAGTACGAAGTCTGCCATCGGGAGAAATTCAAAGACGCCGACTTACACGCGTGGATGCTATCCACAACAGGGCCCTGCTGCTGGTACGCCAAGTAGGCCTCATGCATTCCCTTCCAGCCATCAATGCAGAGCCAGATGTGCATGAGATCCGAGCTGTCAGCAGACTCCTGGTCGGTCTCGTTTCCCTGCTGACCAGCGAGGCGAGGCGCGTCGGCAGCTCCAGGGGCCACAGCAGCCTCAGCAGCCAGAGAGGACAGCAATGCCTTGCGAGTCCAGTATACCACAAGATCCACGTTCGCGCGTCCGACACATTGGAGCTCAGTGGTATCCCACTGACTAGTAACTTCCTGCTTGGCGTGGAAGAGGTCGCGGTCGGGAAGCCAGTCAAACTTGATCTGGTAGTTGCCCGAGAAGTCAGATCCTTTGGCATCACAGAAGTTGAAGGAGATATCTGGCCAAGTCGCTAAACTCTTCAGCTCGAGTTTGGTCTTCAAGAATACCGGCTGTCCAGCGTGGCGCTGCTTTGGCACGACATCGGGACGTTTCCGATTACGCTTGTGCGCGAGCGGCGCATCGTCGGTCAGGGTTCCGATGTGGACGGTGCTGGCGGCGATGCGTCTCTTGGGTGCCTTGTTAGGCTGGGGTATCTTGTTTTCAGTGTTCCAATGGTCAAACACGCGACCCCAAATCTTGCTTCTGATCTCCGTGGCATCGACGTTGGGCATTCGGTTGCAGGTCGCGAGGTCCTTGATCCACTTCTCCGGGATCTTCTTCTGGTCGTCCGTGAGATCCGACTCTTCCCTCAAGGATTTAATGGCCATGGCTAGATAAGAGAGAATGCTTTTATTGAGGTCAGCTGTTCGTAGGGAAATCTCATAGTTGGTTAGATGGCAGGATACCTTACCGAGATGATATGAGGAATTCTGTTGCTGATGACTCAAGGCGCGTTCGTAGTTGAGCTGTCGCGCTGGTGGTTGGGATTTGCTCGGTATCAGGACACCTTCGTCGTGTTGTGTGGAGAGGACTTTTTATTCAAGAAAAAGATGCCCTCGACAAAAACATCATCAGCTCAATTGGGCCTCTGGATGAATACGCGATATATTCGTGAATACGCCCAACCGCCAGTCTGGACCATTTTTCACCCAGCTCGCGGGCCCACACCTGAGGCTGCAAAGATTGATTCACTGTTCAGCGATCAATAATACCAGGAAGGCACGCGAAAGGCAAACATCTTTGTCGCGGTCTGAGTCGACGACAACATGGATAATTGGTGCCTAAGCAGCAAGATAGGAGATGAGGGAGATTAGAACATGGCGCCTTCCATTTCTTCTCCTCCGTAACTAGTTCGAAAGGGACTAGAGGATATAGTCAGCATAAAGGCTGCCTTTCATCTTCATTATTCGGCCAGATGGGCTTTCATATGTCCTAAAAGGGAGTCTGTACCTGGCTTGCGCTCAAGGTTGTGGGCTCAACCCTAGGGAAACCTAGAAACAACGAGATCCAAGAAGAGTTCACTCCCCCGATGCTGAACTGGGAGCTACATCTATTGGTGCTCAAGCTGAGAAATATCTGGTTGCTCATGCTGGGATTCGGACTCGGGTACTCTCGTATGCGCTTAGCCTGTCGTCGAGTAGGCTGGTTGGCGTTGATAATTATGTCAGACCATTAACCACTCCACCAACCAGCCAATTTGACCTGACCCGTCGACCTAGACGGGCGCCTGCTGGCTGATGACAGGAACGGTGTTGAGGGTGTATATAAAGGTTCCTTTGGTGGCAGCCTTGTGTGGACGTGAGGTGTCCGACGTGCGGAAGGTACGGCAAGGCTTCAGCCATCACCGCCTGCTCGCATCTGCCTTGCCTAGGTATGCAGTCACGTGAAGAAATCATCCGCTCGCATGGCACTTCTGGAGAGGTCCCAGGGATTACCTGGGAAAGCCCCGGCGGACCCCTAAGGGGCCAATGGGAACTGGATGTCTGGGGATGCACGTCACGGCACCATCACATATGAAGGCACATTGACACCTTGCAAAATGAATTGACTTCTCTTTATTCTATCTACTTGCTAACGTGCCCAAAATGAATTGGCCCCCATACTTACCGATGATACCGTCGCTTTCCTCTCCTCCCCTAGTATCATGGTTTTCCTCTGCCCATCTCAGCCTCCTCTCGCTATCCACTTAAACAAATAGCTCCCAGGCGTATAATCCTTACAATCACACGGTATTAACTGAATGGAAGCGGGCCCATAATGATCTCGAACAAGTCATGCATGATACGATAGGTCGGTCTGCCCTCTGTAGCGATATCGAGGGCCTTGGCCAATCGCCTGGTCTCGGATTCTGTCAAGCATTAGTAAGTTACCTTAAGTTTCTCTTTTCTGGGGGGGAGGGGTTGTTCACTCCATAAAGGTACGCACCATCAATCGACCAGAAGTCCTCACGGGTTGCCGGAAAAGGCTTGATGTCTAGGCACGTGTGGGTATCAATCAAGGTCATGAGGACTGCGTTGACTCCGTCTTTGGCAACGCGTTGGGCGTTCACCTGCCTTCGTTTGGCATTTACGGACCTAATGAGAGTCAGCACATGTCTGTATATTCTCATTATTATTACGTGGGAGCACCAACCCGACAATGATCCAGTACTTCCCGCGTTCGGCTGGGCGGGCCTCGGGGCCGCGATCGGGAAGAGAGCTTTTCTGGATATTTCGTGCCGTACTGGGCTCCTGGACCTTGGCCTACGGGTTCAATCCCTGAGTGCTCTGCCGCTGGTTTTCCATCTTTTCAAGAGTCTTCTTGTCTATGTGAAGACTCAGCTTATCAATGCGCTGTTCCATCGTTTGAAGCCCTTTTTCCTCGTTTTTACGCATCTCGGCTAACCCATTCTCTATAACTTGGGTCTAGTTGGCTACCTCCGCGGTGAGTTTCTCCACGGCAGACTTCAGGTGCTGTTGTGAGACCGGCGCGGGCTTAGAACTGTCATCGAACGAGGTGCGTGTCATTGCTACGTTGCTTTAAAGGCCGTTGAACAATCTAGCAAGTGACAAATCAGTCTCTAATGTTATTAGATCGAGTTGTTTGACGCGGTGGTTTGTTGTGAGTGCTTTAGGACCTTTGGGTGGTGCCTTGAGTTGCGGAGCGCTTGCGACTGACAATAGAGTTGGATGATAGATTCACGATCAGCAAAGTGAGAGCAGAAGAAAAGACGAACAACTAACAAGTCTAGGCGCCAAGGGGGTTTATATATTGTGCTTTTGAGATAGTTTCGGCCCCTGGGGCCGTCGCAGTCTTCTTGAATACATAATAATCGCGAAGCCAATAGACCAAGATTCTCGCATTATGTGACCTGGCTGGCCCACCTTGGCATCTGCAGCAAAATTCGGCTCATTTCGTAGCTCGGCCGTAAGATTGGTTATGGAAGCTTGCTGGGTCATCTCCGCTTGCTACGTATGGTCGATGCTGAGGCCAAGGGGGAGGAGCCACATGATTCTATAGCTGTCGGATTGGAAGTCCAATTCGACCTCGCGGCAAGGGGCCCGCGCAGGGGCCACTTACGGGCCGTACTTACGATAATCGCGGCCTGCCCAACCTGCGGTTGGAACCTCCCTTTTCCACCTTACGCAGAAGTTAATACAGACCAATTGACCTCTTCGTCAACCCACGGCTCGAACCAGAATCCCTGTGATAGGCATACCAGCAATAGCATCGGTGATGCGCTGATGTAGGCGTGCTGAGTACTCTGTTAATGCTCCTTGTTTTGATCGGCGCTAAAGATACTGAATTTTCTTTTAAATTAATCGAAATACAAATATGCTTTCGTATGATAATAGGTAGATAAAGTGGAATGCCGGTTATTAACACAAGATTTGATTATTATCATCTTAATATTCCTTGTTTTCTTCCATGTAAGTATATTCACTAACGAATACACAAAAGACGAAACACAACAGAATAGGTAAAAATAATACACATAGCAAGAACAGTGTTAGTAATAGTATTAGTTATAGTAGAGCTAGAGCACAAAGCGGCGAAGGACTGTATTACCTACTTGGGAGAAGGTGGGCTAAAGATTTTAGAATCGTGTTTTAAAACTGGCTCTTTGCTACACAATCAAACCTCCGGAACGGTGTGTTGCGAGCCTATGCCAGAACGCATCTCACAAACCTCGTCTGAGAGGGTCTCCATATGCCCTGTTGTCGATGCATTTGATTTGGGAAGTCGGCAAATGCCTTGGCCAAGTCATCTCGGAGAAGACCGAGAGCCCCATCCTGCGCATGACCAGTGGAAAATGTGGTGGAATTGTTGGTGCTCCCGTCCATGGTAGCGGTATTTGGTTGATGTTGTGACTTGAATCGGGAATGCCTGCAGAATTCTGAGAAAAAGGAACGCCAGGGTGATGGTAGTGGAGTGTTTGGAGAGGAAAAAGGAATGGGAACGAGATGGTGGACGAGTGGGGTTTATGTATGGGCATCAGAGGCTGCTGGACTCAACCGCCATTGGCGGGAGTTGTTGTTGTCGTCTCGACTCTACGAAACCCCGGCACTTCGCTCGAACACTTGATGCATGAGCTTAGGATATGCGATCTTCTCATACTCCATGCCGAGATTGGCGGCGAGCTGGCGGATGTCGCTTTCTGTGTAGCATTAGTACTGGGCCCCAGGCATCTGAGTCAAATATGTCACATACCGTTCATGGACCAAAAGTCGGCCAAGGTTGCGGGGATCCCTCAACATTCAAGAATTTGTACGGGTTAACCTGTGGGAGGAGGCGGGTAGCATCCCCAGTAATGTCGCGCCTCTTCACTTTCTTAAAGCGTCTCGTGGCGTTGACGACCCTGGTGTGCGTCAGTGTCATGTGTCGACAGTGTGTGCCTCGAGTAACTTACGGAACCATGTGTTTCAACCCCCGCTCTATTCATCAACATCCAAGTCTTTGTACATATTCTGTACGGGGTATACAAAGAATAGACTGCCCTGAAAAGAGAAGTTTAGAGGGGGAATGGCAGTATGGGTGCGGGCAGTGGGAGAACTACAGATAAAGATGCTATGGTTTTGAGCGAAAGCTCGTTGTTGCCGAAAATGTTGATCTCTGCATCTTCATTACATCGGGGCTGTGGTCAGAAATGGACGATGAATCAGAGAGAAAGACGGAAGATCCTGACATCAGATCTGGGCGAGAGGAAGCCAGACTCTCTCTTTCCCAGATCGGGGGGTGAACATTGTGGTGAAGTCTACGTTCTCCGTGTAAAGCCGTCGAGTCGAAGTCGCCAGATGTGGCTGGGCACCGGGTGTGGTCCGTGTGTCCACCGGGCTGTGGCTGATGCCAACGGCACACCTCCACCTCCACCTCCAGGGCAGGCCAGGAAGCTTCTCTCTTCCACTCACGCACCCTATCAACTACTTCGCCAACAGAGCAGCCCTCTTCCCTGCTACCTTTCATACCAAAGATCCCAGCAGAAGAAATCGCCCTCCATGCTCCGTTCGGGACCCGTCTCCGAAGTTGATACTGCCTCGAGGCGGTCCAGCTCCGATCAGCAAGCAGCTAAAGCCGGAACCGGCCGGTGACAAGCGTTGATCTCGATGGGGCCACCAAAGCAGCCAGGCCGTTTCGCCGATTTTATCCCATCTTACCCACCCCCGCGGGCGGATTGACGTCTCGATGTCTTTATTCGATATGTTCAGCAGCTCGCCTACACATCCCCGAGTCCCCGAGCAATAATTTCCAGTCGCAGTCGCATTCACAATCGCAAACAATCGCAAACCGCATACCCATACGTGCTTACGGAATATCAGTACTCGACTTTCTCTTTGATAGCTGCGACGGGCAAGTCAACTCGTCTCCACCCACTTTACCGCCCCCCGGATTGCGTTTGTTTCAAAGTGGATTGCTTTCCTTGTTCTCCAACACCCGGCCAGAATGCAGCTTGCCCGCGGCCGGGGTCGGCGCCGGGGGGTGGGTGGCCATTTAGGTGTGATCGATAGTGTCGCTTCAGCGCCGCCATGACTCGAGCAGACAGCGTCGCTTTCCAAGTATTAAGGGCCTAGGGTGGGCGCGCTTGAGGATTTGGCGCCGTTGAAACAGTTTTGCTCTGCGACGACACCCCTACTGATCTCTTCATTCTTCATGTTTCTCGAGTACCTTACTGCTATTTGTGTCGGCTATTGACTGCTGAGGAGGAGTTCTACGGGTTCGGCAACTGAAGCATGACGACACCGAGGAAGCTTGTGCAAGAAGCCGCTTAAGTTATCGAGATCGGAACGATACCCGTGTCTCGGCATTGCGATTGGCGCGCTTCTCCGGAATAGGGTAAAGGGACATCATGAGCTCTCCACCTCCTCACATCGCCCATGATGTCGAAAAGTCAGGGCCACGGCAGACCATGGAGGCGCTTGTTCACGACAACGATGGCGCTCGCATGAAGGAAGCCGTACATGGCGACGAAAAGGCGCTTCCGTCGTCTTCATCGGACGACGACCCGCCGGGAATCGTGGCGCAGGACACGGACCCGGACACGGATGCTGGGCACGGGGCCGGCGCCGAGGCCAGCGGAATCGTGGGCCGGGTGCTTAGTCGGGCCACGTCGAGGTCCAGCATTGTACAAGGTCCGCCTCCCGATGGGGGCGTAACCGCGTGGATGGCTAGTAAGTTGCTGTGTGCCATGAAGTCAGATCTCGCGAGGCTAACTCCAACAACAGTCTTCAGCGCCCATCTGGTCATTATGAATACCTGGTGAGTCCATCATAAGCTGTGTACGTCCAGCCAAACTAATAAATCTCAGGGGCATCGTCAACTCATTCGGCGTCTTCCAATCCTACTACACAACCCTCCTCGGTCGCCCACCCTCGGACATAGCCTGGATCGGCTCCTTCGAGGTCTTCCTCCTCTTCTTCATCAGCACCTTCAGCGGCCGCCTCACAGACGCCGGCTACTTCCGCCACCTATTCATCGCCGGTTTCCTCTTCGTGTTCCTCGGCATGTTCGCCACCTCCTTCTGCTCACAGTACTGGCAATTATTCCTCTCGCAGGGAATCTGCCTAGGCCTCGGCAACGGCTTGCTCTTTTGCCCAGCATTATCAACGGCGTCCACCTATTTCGACAAGAAAAGGGCCCTCGCGCTGGGTTTCGTGTCGATCGGAAGCTCGACGGGCGGGCTGATTTACCCCAGCATGGTGAGGCAGCTGCTTCCGAGTATTGGGTTCGGGTGGACGATCCGCGCTATTGCGTTCGTGCAGGCCGGCACGCTGGTCATCAGCTTCATGTTCCTGAAGCCGAGGGTCAAGCCCAGGAAAGCAGGAAGTATCGTTGAGTGGGCAGCTTTCAAAGAGTTGGAGTACACTTTCTACGCCATTGGGTCCTTCCTAGTAAGCTCTCTCTAGTAATCTCATCTATTACTCGGTATCAGTCTCCCCAGACCTTTTACTTACAATTCCACAGAACTACCTCGGCGTCTTCTTTGCCTTCTACTACCTAGCATCCTACACCCGCGACATAATAGGCCTCTCCTACAACGCCTCCCTCAACCTCCTCCTCGTCCTCAACGGCGTCGGCGTGCCAGGCCGCATCCTCCCCGGCTACATCGCCGACCGCGTCGGCTCCATAAACACCCTCATCCCCATGTCCCTCGCCTCCGGCATTCTCATGTACTGCTGGGTCGCCGTCTCCTCGACAGCGGGGCTCTACGTTTGGACCCCCTTTTACGGCCTCGTCGCCAGCGCGATCCAGAGTCTGTTCCCTTCGGCGCTGAGCCAGCTGACGAGCGACCCGAGGAAGCAGGGGACACGAATGGGTATGACGTTTACGATAGTGAGTTTCGCAGTGTTGACGGGTCCGCCAATTGCTGGAGCGATTATTCAGGCTGAGGGGGGGAGGTATGTGGGTGCGCAGGTGTATGCGGGGTCTTGTCTGCTCGCTGGTATGTGTTTTTGGTGTGCGGCGAAGATGGTGAAGACGAGGAGGGCTGGGATGGGGTTGAAGATCTGGGTCAAGGTTTGATGAAGTGATGATCCTCTGGAGCTGGTTGAGAGCCTTTTGATGTGCGTTTTTGTTGAGATGATTTCTTCTCTGCTAGATGGATTCGATAGACAGAGTGCGGCGTGGAGTTGATGATACGGCTAGAGACGTCGACTCGTGCCCCAGTCATTTAATGTAATTAGCATTGGACGATGCTTGCAGTGACCAAGATTGAGGTGTTAGTATTCTGTCAATATTGACAAAACCAAGCTGTTTCGATTTCATTTAACTAATAGCTTTCGCCAGACCCCCACGACGCACCGTCACAACTGATTTTCCTTTCCGAATTGAAACCCCCGCGAATTCCCTTCGGCATCCGCCATCACAAATGTTTCGCATTCTCTTTCTCTAGATCAGCATACTCCACGGAAATCGCCAGCATCTCATCCTCCTCCTCCCTTACGCTACCTCAAGTCTCAGTAGCAGACTGGCCATCAGCGCAAGCGGGCATTAAACCTAGCATTCCCGAATGAATCGTTCTCAGTATCATCATTCCCGAAATCCCTTCTACGTGCGAACAATATGGATATCTCCAGGCCTCTCATATCTCTAAAGGCACCAAGTCAACGACCACCAGCCCAAAAGCTCGTTCCGAGATGAAGCAATTGCGTTCACCAAGCTAGAAAAAAAAAAGGCGGAATGGTAGAACTTCAACCTCCAATGCTCCTCCGATCTTCCCCTCTCTCGGCAAATGTGCAGCTAGACAGCCTGTCATCAAACCCAGAAGTCGACCCCAACTAAACCTCGCAGCAAGATGTCGGGCCCAGAGTCAAAGTAAAGCCAAAATAAGGCAAAGCCAAGACTAGGCAAAGTGAGACACTTCATCAGCACACGCACACAATTCCCGAATCCCGTCCAATAAGACGCTGTACCAAATAACCCCAAGCCATCAACCCGCATTGCATATTCCGGAAAACAACCCTCCCCCTCCCCCGGCACGGCCGTTGTCGAACAACGCTGCGCGAGAATTACCACCATGCAGATTCTCGGATTTCGTGCATAATCGAGTGCGAGGCAAGCTGTGCCACCCGGCCGTAAGGTACCGGAGGAAGCTGTCTGCCCCGCATCGCACACGCATCTCATCAATACCTGAGTCAATCATGAATTCCCAATTGCGTTCCGGCATTACGGCCCCCACGTTTCCTCCGGAGTTGCTAGGAAAGGAAAATGCAGAAAGAATGTACCGTGTCCCGGATTTAAACGAGTTTCCCAAGTTTCTCGACACACTGAAACCCGGAGCGCATCCGTCAGAAGGCAGGTGATCCGATGCAGTTTCCCCCCTTTTAACGACCCCTCCTCTTCTAGAGGTACGGCTACGGCCGTTTGATATTTTTTGGACTTCTTGACTTTCGTCAGAGTTTCAATCTCTTTTTCAATGTTCCTAACAACGGTCACATACAATGGCACCTTCAGGATGTAGAGTCAAGATCAAATGGTATCTCTTGTTCATTCGTGATATCTATCTAAATGCTAAAAACCTGAGCTGCAACAAAACCAAAACCCTCAACGCTATGTCTATCTCAACGAAGAATCTAAGTATCTATAAGAGTCAAAACAAAGGAAAAGAAAGAAACTACAAGAAAAGAAAGACACAAAACAACAAAATTGAAACGTCAAGGAAACCCCCCGACCATCCTCCTCACACTCTCCCCGCCCAGCAACGCCGCCAGCCTCGCCATATCAAGCTCCCCGAGCGCAGGGTACACCCGCTCCCGCGGCACCTCCTCACCAACCGCCAACACCCCCTCGTCCTCCATCCACTTGCGCAGCGCCACCTTCATCGGCGCGGGCGTCATGGGCGAGTGGTACAGCATGTGCAGCGCCTGCGCGCGCATGTCGCTGACGTGCTCGTCGCCCTTGTTGTCGTGCAGGTGCGGGTTCCGCGTCTCGATTTGGTGGATCTGCACCGAGGCGTGTTGCTGCCGCGAGCCGTTGCTGCCGTTGCGGCCGAGGCTGCTGTTTCTGCTGCTACTACGGCTGCTGCTGCCAAGGCTGACGGGCGAGGCGGGAGGCGACAGGAGCTGCGACATGGACGACGGAGATATCGGGCTGCTTGCGTCTGAGAGTGTGTCGCTGTTGTTATCGTCGTCGAGTCTTTGGTGGTTGATGTGGCTCTGGTGATGATGATGATCCAGGTCGCCCATCTGCTCCAACAGGTAGAGGTACTCATACGGCTCGACGGCAAACCCGCTCGCCATCCTAAGCTTCAGCGCCAGGGACATCGTCATGGCGTGTTCCCCCGCGTTCCCCGTCGTAATGCAATCCGTTCCGTAGCCAGAGAACTCTTGCAGGAGGTTATTCAACCACTCGTTCACCACCCGCGAACTCCGTCCCCTCCGATCAAACATCAAACGCCCGTTCCGCTCCTTGGGCTTGGAGCTCCACGACACCCGGACCATGGCATGTTCCGCCGTCGCCCTGGAGAGGTGGAACCCAGCGGCATAGCTCTTGCAGTACTCGTTGATGGAACCGGGGATATAGTTATCGGCATCCACGAAGCCGACGTACTCCCTCTCCATCAGCGCCGCAACAGCCATGCCAACGAGCATCCCTTCCCCCTTTCCGCTGTGCACGAGCCCGTCGTCGTCGCTCACCAACTCAGGAGCCCCCGCCGCCGCGAAAGCGTCAGCGACGCCAAGGTCCTTTTGGTGCACCGCGATCGCGAAGCGATCCGCCTCGCGGCAGAAATTCTGTAGGATGTTGACCTCCGTCTCGTACCGGTCGTTGTAGCCGCCCTGTGCCCGGTTGCTGTTGGAGACGAGGACGATGAGGCAGTCGTGCGGGATCCCCGAGAAGACGGACTCGATTGTGCGGAACTCTTCGTTCATGCAGAGGACGACGATGGCCATGCGCGACTCGATGGCAAGGAAATCGTCCCGCGAGACGGTGAGGCTTGAGGAGGTGCTGCGTCCTGAGCCGGCGTCGAGCTCGATGACGCGCTGGAGCTCGTTGATTTGTATTGAGCCGAGGCGCTCGAAGCGGGAGGGTCGTGTAAGTCTCATTGTAAGGCGATAGTAACAGTGAGAAGACGGCTTGACCGAAAGGAAGTAGGGTCAGGATAGTTGAAAGATGTGATTCGAGTTGATTTGCTCTGCTCAAGAAAGAATAATGTACTGGATTCAAACAAAGACCGGTATGGTTAAATAGGTATTTGTACTTCACTCGAGCAGACTTCAGAGTAGTTTGAGCTTGGTGACTCTTACCTCTGTCTTCCCAGATATCCAAGCAAGACCCCCTTCGCTGGCCATCCTTATATGTATTAACATTTGTCCCTGTGATCCAACGGCCCGGCTCGTTGTCCACCCCAAGCCAAAGCACCAACGGCAACAAGAGCGTAAAAGAGAATGGGTAGACAGACAGACAGTCAGACTACGGTTGGGCGTTCCAACGGCCGTAATCCGGCTACCCAGGTAGGTAGGCCAGATATCGAGACCTCATTCGCAAAACCACAAAAAGGCCCCCAACGGCAACGGGTAGACTGTCGTTCAACACCTCTGCTATCCCATCGCATTGGTCAGGTCCCGGCAGGTTGTGCTGTTGCTCGCATTTGCCTAAAGGGCCGTTGCAGGGCCCACGTTTGCTGCGGTCTCTGCTGGAGAAGGGGATCCAACGTTATTCGTCAACTTTACATTGTATGGAGAAAGTGTTCCGTGGACAGGGGTTGGAAAAGAAAAGGGGAGAGGAAGAAGTCCGAAAAAGAAAGCAGCCGGGATTGTCAGAAAAATGATGCAGAAACGAAGTGTGCTGCACTGCATTCAACCTACGTCAAGTCCAAGTAACCAACAAGCGACCTCCAACACCGGCCATATCTCGACAGGGGTCTTTACACGCTGCGCCTCTCTCCTGCTGGAAAAGTGTAAGTGGGTAGAACAGACGAAGCCATTTACAACAAAGAACGTTTCCTAAATAATCTCCACTGGCAAGAAGCGTAACAAGAGTAATTATGAGCAACTGGACATCGATCATTCAAAGTGCTCATATTACAAATCACGTTCACAGAAAAGCGAATTGTACGTATCCAAAGTGCCGTGGTGAAGAAAGACGGACACAGCCGCTGTCAAGATACCACCGCATTGGTTGTGACCAAACTCAGAACTTAATTGATCCTAGCAATCTAGGCGCATTCCAAAAATCTCACGTGCGTTGGTTTCCCTTGCCATGGGTTTGACTCAGGTTCGAAAAGTGCGAGAGAGCCTTGTACTGGGGAACTGGGGGTGGCTCTCCTCGAAGGGCCAGTTGGGCGCGGTTGTGGCTCTCTCCTTTTCACCAACACAACACACACAGCCACGCACCGCGGCTGTTGGTTTCGTCTTACCACATTCAAAAAGTGCCTGAATGGTTCCAACTTCCGCTTCGCCTTGGGGAACCAATGATCTCATTGCTGTGCTGAGTAATTTCCGCCGCACAGCCGTTGGGTCTAGATGATAGGCCCAGGGGTGGCTTGACTCTCGAGTTGGCCTCGTTGAGCTCCTTCGGTCTTCTGGCAAATTACATCGTCCCATATCACCCCCTCACTCGGTGTGATAGAACGTCAGAGTAACGAGCAACTGGCTTTTTTTGTCTTTCTCTCTCCTAATTGCTCGTCATAGAATATCTTACAATTGTGCCAGGACCGAAGGCTACGTTCCATTGTTTTCCGTACAGCCAATTAAACCAACATCCAACGCCAACGTTCACAATTTGCAGTAATAACCACGCCCTGTTCCTTTGATATGCCAGTTCCTTCCATCCCTAGCCAAATCTCTCGCCGCTTCTCCAAAGGCCAAAAAAGCCGTTGCTCAGGTCGGAGTTGTACTGATATTGGTTTTGCCAAGCTTCGCTGCTAGCAATATTGTCGTCATCTGAATCATATTCTCACATCATTCGTCAAGTCGTTCGTGACCTTCATTTCCTCGTGTTATGCCACATCTCGTGACTTTGTCCGAGCCGGTACAGTAACTGTAGGCTACGAGGGTAGACAAGAAAGTTCGAGTGCTGACTCACTTCTTTCGAGTGGACGAGCCCTTCTTCGGCGTGGGAGCGCAGAGAGCGCAAGTGATAGAATCGGCACTTTTGCCGCCCTCGGAGGACTTGGAGCTGGAGACGGTCTTCTCGCGCAACTCGCTCATCGCAGCCGTCTGAGACTTTTCGTGAGCATCCTGCTTCTCCTTGATGCTTCGGTTATTGTCCATGATTGTCCTCGTGTCGTTTCGATTGTTCTGCTGATCCTCGTCCAAGGCTTCCTGCTTGAACCGACCGGCGCGAATGTCGCCTTTGATATCCCTGATGGCTTCCTTGTTGTCGGCTCTTTTAGCTGTCACAGCCTTCTCGAAGGAGGATACCTGAAGCTTGACATTTTCCATGTCCTTGTTGGCTTGCATCAAGCGGAGCTCCACAGCTTGAAAACGGATGTCATCTTCAAGACTTTTCTTCTCATCGACGAGATTTTGCTGCTCAATCTCGCGAATGGCGTCATCTACTGCCTCCAAGTGGCTCTGCATCTTCGCGATGGCACTCTTGATAGGCGGTAGCATCTCGTCAAGTCTGTGGTCGCGTTTGGCGTCAATCAAATTGCCGACATCGGCAAGCACCTTCTTCTCCGAGTCCTTCAGGTCTGCGGCGGTGACAGCCTGCATGTTTTTAGGCTGGCTTGCTGCAGTTAGCAGTTTGTTGGACTCCAGCATCGCGTGGATGATTCGCTCGACATCAGCCTGGGTCAGTGGCTTGGTCGCATTCGGATCCGCCATAGTCATGATAGCTGCGTCTGCGGTTGAAGGAACTGCCTTGGTGAGAGTTGCCGGAATTGGAGCAGTCGTAGTGGGAGTCGCGGTGGTGTGAGCTGCGGCACCGGTGGAAGCGGAAGCTGCGATATCTTCTGCCGAAGTGTTTCGAGCTGAGGAAAGTTGGGTTCCAGAGACTCAAGCGGAAGGGATTCTAGCTGAAGAAATTCTAGCTGAGATTGGAGTAGAAGAGATTGACGATGAAGAGATTTACGATGAAGAGATTGACGATGAAGAGATTGACGATGAAGAGATTGACGATGAAGAGGTCGGCAAAGAAGATTTTAAACCACCGGGCTGAGCTCGAGAGGTGGATCCATGGAGGCTGCCGGAACTTCCTGCCTCAGTTCCATACGCGGTCTTCTTCTTTTGCTGGCTCGACTGTTGATTGTTCGTGGTAGGTCGAGTCTCTTCACGGGCGTGGCCCTGCTGCTGGGGACGAGAGACAGCCCGAGACTCAAAGAGCTCCTCCGAGCTCCGATCCCGATTGGTGAGTGATGTTCTGGCACCTGCCTGTCCCTGATAGTTGTTGCCTTTTTCATTTTCAGTGATTTGAGTCTTTGTCCAACTCGTCCTTGTGGTGTTCTTACCGCTTTACCTGGTGTTGTTAGCAGGATACTGAACTCCGCCAGCCATAGTCACAACGATCTCTCTGGCCATCAACTCACCAAAGGGGATGATGTGACATCTACCATGCATATGTAGCCATTTGCTGTATCCACTGTAGTCAGAGTGTGCGCTCTTGGCCCTGCGCAAGGCGGCAAACTCGTGAGCAAAGCATGTGCTAAGTTCGGAGTTCTTGTTAGCACGATCGTGGATCATCGTGGCGAGGTAGCTCGTCTCAATTCAAGGGTCGTCTTGGAAAAGACACCAGGCTATCCAGACTTGAACAATGAGCGGCTGAGTCTCCTTGAAGCTCGAATACTCATCGGCTCGCACCATGATGGCAACGGCACTTTGAATGATGGGATGTTCAGGTCCAGGAACCCGGACAGAGCGGCGCATGATCTTTCTGGCATCCACGTAATACACGTCGGCAAGCTGGGTGTTGGAGTTGATGAGAGGTTTCCTGGTCTTCCTGAACAAGGAAGGAAGGCTGCTCATGCTGGCGTTTTGATTGGCAGCCCAGTATTTGTTCCTGAACTTCTTCTCTAGACGAGCGTCGTGAACCATGTTGAACCAATCCGCCAAGGGCTTTGCACGCCAGTTGTCAAGACTAATAAAGATTTCGGCTTTGAGATAGCGCATGAGGTCAACAATCTCTGCTTGACCCTTGTTTTTCAAGACTGACTTGGTGGTTGAATGGTACGTGTTTGCACCCAACAAAAGGCCTTCTGTCTGCCGAGTAGTCGTGACCGTATGCATGATGTTGTTGTATATGTCGCTGAGGTCAGGGGTGTGGATGATCTCCTTTCTCATGGCTTGGTGGGCTGCCTGTTCAGAGTATCTGATCGTAGTCACCATGTGTTTAGTTGACGCCTTTGCTGGAGCTTGCCCCCGCCTTTTGAAGGCGCTGGTGGTGTGCTGGTCCGCTTCATGGTCGTCCTCGCTCTCATCAAGAACGGCAGCAGGTCGCTTCCGAGAGTAATAAGCCATGCTCAGCGTGCCCTGTCCCGGGTTCTGTCGGTTCATGGCTTTCTTGCTTGGTATTCCTGTAGGAATATGTATTAGAGAATGGTAATGAGTTGAGGAGGAGGAGCGTGAGGGATATTGTGAAGAAGTAAAGGTGAATTGTAGAAGAAGTGTAAGTGAAGATGGGTGGAAAGTCGCGATGGGGAGGTGCGGATAAGAGAAAGTAAACAGACCGACGAGAGGGCAAGAAATGCTCTTTTGCGCGGTCAGTGGTGTAAAGGAGGAGGACACAGAAAATCCAGGAAGGAAATTCTTGCGCCGGAGGAAGGAATGGAGGAGATGAAGTCAAAGCTGAGAGAGGGAACTCCTGTCTGGATGAGAAGATGTCGCGTCGCGCGTTTGGAATGTTGTGGGAGGAAAGTCTGCGAGGTGAGGGCTTGAGTCCGAAGGGGAGCTGGAGCCTGGGGGCCGAGGCAGATACGGAGGAAGGTGAATACGAAGACGAAGGTGAGTATGAGGGTGAATATGAGGACAGAGAAGGAGGTGAAGTCGAATCGCCGCCTGCCTGCCTGCGGCATGACAGTTGCCCCAGGCCTGGGCCAGTTGTTACTTGGAGCAGATCACGTCGTCAAGTCAGAGATAGTTCATGGAAGACGAGAGGTTGTTGAGAAGACACCAATCATCGGTGAACGACGATTTATAGGAAGACATGTCTCACAATCATCCGCCGAAGAAAGGGCACATCCCCGGGTCTTGCAGCTTAAGTGAGATTCATCCACTACATCACGCGGTATCTCTTCCACTAATTGCCTTACTATATGATTATTTCGTCCACTCGATCCCGAGATACTCGTTTGTTGTTAGAAATTCCGAAGATCCAATGGAAGTGGTGGTCAACTCCATAGATCAACTCTGCGCCGGTGATATAGGTAGACTGGATAAATGAAGTCAGCTGTCATTTTTGACACACGTGACATGAACTCAACAATATTCCTCATTCCGTACTTGCCCTTCATCAGATAGCCGACTTTCACTTTGTACTGCGGATCGATCCTCCCAAGCTTCGAGATGTTGGAGCGTCACAGCAGACGTCACACGAGACAGTGATTGGACGGAATCAGTTGGATGCGGTCACAGCCTCTTGCTTCCAACAGACCAATCTCAGCGTCGATTACAGATATTTCAGGATATTGGACCATACAGTCACTCACTAGTCACAAATCGTCCCATTCTTTTGAAAATACTAAATATTTACATGTGATCAATCTTGGATGATCTAGGACTGTTACAACCCTTGGCATCGACTCTCCAAAATAAGATATGACTATCCAGATCAAAGTGTAAAAAGGGGTGTCATTCAACAGAAAGTTACTGGTGTGTATCAAACAGGATAAAAGTTCTGATTTCTTCGTTCTACCAACAAAATACGAAGACGACATTTGTTACATCAGACTCAGTCACATCAATCACATCACCAACACCATAACCTCAAGAAACCACGAGCGCACTCAAAGCTTCGACATCGTAGCACCAAACTCCAAAACCCCGCAGTCCATCAATTCACCTTACTAAGAAGGCCCCTTGCCAATCCAACTGTCTCAACACACTCATATGCTAGGCGATGCCCCTCCCGGCTCCCGCTCGTCGCCGCCCAATGCTCACATAATCCTCTTTCCCCCGCCCCTCCCTCGGCCCGGCCCCGCGAACGGCTCCGGTGGGATGAACTACATCCATCACCCATCCCATCTTCCACACAAACCACCAAGCCTCTCCCCCTAATTGGAACCAACCAAACATTCTCAAGCTCTTCCATGACGACAAAAGCTGAGAAATCATAGCTCTCTTCCTCTTTCAAGACGGAGAATTCTCCCCGCTCAAAAGTCCGTTACTGTGATATACTCACAACCATCATCAGACATATAACCTCAAGCTCCCCCATCACGAACATCATGAACTCCCAAGCTCACCACCACCTCACTTCTTCCCACCCTCCTTGACTTTTCCAAGAAACTGCCACCATTCAGCAACTAACAACTTCAAACAAAATGTCACTCAATATTCCCAACCCGTCGCTGCCAACCGGTTCCACAATCGTCCTCACAGGCGCAAACGGCTACATCGCAAGCCACATCGCAAACCAACTCCTCCTCCAAGGCCACCACGTCCGCGGCACCGTCCGCTCCCCGTCCAAAACAGCATGGCTAGCCACCCACTTTGACAAGACCTACGGCCCCGGGAGGTTCACCCTTCACGAGGTCGCCGACGTCGAGAAGGACGGGGCGTTTGATAATGTTGTCAACGGTACGTTCACCCTTTTTCATTCACCCTTCTCTTCATCTTATTTCTTCGTCACGTTGAGCATAAAAGAAAAGAGTAAACAATGTAAGCTCCAAACGGTAATACTAACAACCCCAACCAGGCGCCGACGCAGTCATCCACACCCTAGCAATAATGAACTTCTCCCCCAACGACCCTACCCCGGAGGAAACAATAACCTCAAACGTAAACGCAACCCTCTCCATCCTCCGCTCCGCAGCCCGCGCCGCTGCTCCCTCTCCAGACAAACCCGGCGTAAAACGCTTCATCTACACCTCCTCCTCGGGCGCAGCCGCCATGCCCCGCCCCGGAGAACCCTACACCGTCGACGCGACCTCGTACAACCATCAGGCCGTCGCCATCGCCCTCTCCGGAAAGGGACCCAAGGGCATGGCGGGCGGGTACATCACCTACTCCGCCGCAAAGACCAGGGCCGAGCTGGAGTTGTGGAAGTGGTATGAGGAGGAGAAGCCTGGGTTTGTCTTGAATTCGAGTATGTTCATTGATATATGTCTCTTTCTTTTTGTGTCCAATTGCCCGTCTTTCTCCTCTTCATATCTCCTTGTCCTCCTCTTTCTGTTCCGCTGTCCTCTTCTTTCATATCTCCGGGCCTAACATGAATAATCGGTAGTCGTGCCCAATGCCGCCCTGGGCAAGGTCCTCCTCCCGGAACACCAAGGCTTCCCCACTGCCGTTGGCGCAATGCGACCCCTCTGGCAGGGAAAAGTCACGCCCGAGTTTGTCGCAATGTTCCCAGCTCGTAAGTACACGATTCCCCCCCGCTGCTCTGGCCTGCCTCACTCGAAATACTTAAACAACCATGATCCCCACCCTCTGCATCCCAAATTAACCCCTCCCAGAATGGTACTGCGATGTCATCGATATAGCTCGAATCCACATCGCAGCACTCCTCCTCCCAGATGTCCAGTCCGAACGCCTCATCGCCTACGCAGACAAGTTCAATATCAACGATCTCCTCGCCGTCTTCCGCCAAATCCAACCAAACCGAACCTTCCCCGACGATCTTCCTGATCTCCCCTCCGATAAGGGCACTATTGCCAATGAAAGAGCCACTCAGCTGATGGAACGTCTTCAGGGTGCCAAGGGCTGGATAAGCTTGAAAGATTGCCTGGCGCCGTTGGCTGAGCAGTATGCAGCGGCTGAGGCGGAATCAAAGTGATGTCGAAACGAAGTCAGAGGCGAATGGACACATGGGCGAGCTTCACCGGGTCGTATCTTTGAGAACTCAAAAGCCTTTCAATTGTCCTTGGAGTACTGTTGGACTGCCGCTTGGCTGTCTCATCAGCCCAATGGGATGGTGTATATCTACAAGTCGCGCTGAAGCCAACCCCCGGTGCTAGGCTTGGAAAGTTGAAAAGCATCGTGTCGTAAAGTGAAATTGGTATCTGAGAGAGAAATTTACATCACGATCTATCAGCAAAGTTAGTAGTGCACTCATCAACAACAGTGCGGCTTTACTTACGCAGTCAGACTCATCCTTCCCCTTAGGAATGCCCATCGCCTCGAAAGTGGCAGGTCCCTGGCCTGTCGCTTGCTTCTTGGGAGGGGGCATAGTCTGAGCACTAGGAGCAGGGCTGGGTTGCTGCTGCGGGCGCGGCTGAGATGAGGGCGGCGCACTGCCCGTTCGACCCGGCTGCTCGGCAAGGTCTGGTCGGTTGGGGAAGGGCCGGGGCTGACCCGCCGGTCCAGGACCGGGACGCGGTTGGCCCGAAGGGCTAAGGGGCATTGAGTCAATCCGCTGAGGTGCCGCACCTCTGCCGTATCCATACTGAGCATCAGGGGGGATGGATGATGTTCGCTGGCCAAAGTTGCCAGCTTGTGCAGGCGGCGGCGTGGGCTGGCCGTAGTCGCTTGGGCCATAGCTTCCCTGCTGCGGAGGGTACGGGCTTTGCTTGGGCGGCCTGTTCGCGGCTGGGTTCGGAGGAAGGCCACCTGCCGCTGGGTAGGGTTGGCCAGGTGGCCGCGCTGCGGGACCAGGGCTCGGCTGGCGATATCCAGCAGGCCCTCCGACAGGCACACGACTGCGCGGGTCCGAACCGGCCGGCGGAATCATGTTGCCCATTGACTGTGAAGCGCGAATGTTGCCTGCGGGTCCCGGGGGACCACCGGGACCGGTGCGAATGCCAAACGCGCTGCCGGGGCGATCAGAGTGTGGGCCAGAGACGGGACGACCACCACCGTAGTGAGGGGAGAGCTGAGGTCCAGCGCCCCTGCCACTGCCGCCGCCGCCGTGGTGCATTTCATCCTCGGGATACGGTGCCGTTGATTTTGGTCTGTTCAGGTTGAGCGGCGCAGGGCGGTCGTCCTCTGGGTATGGAGCAGCCGACTTGGGCCGGATTGCAAGGTTGGATTCGAGGTTAACGGTGAATGCGGCTGGCCTGTTGCCCATGCTATTGGGTCGTGAGGGATCAGGGTAGTCAACGGTGTCGTGCGGCGCCGAAGTAGGGTGCACTCTGGGCGACGGGTGAGGAGATGTCTTGGCCGACGTAGACGGGTAGCCGGGGTGGGCATCGGTCGGGGTGACCGGCGCGCTCTCGGAAACAGTCGGCATAGTATTCGGCTGCTTGAAGCGATCGGGCCTCTTGCCGCGCTGAGAACCATGCTGCGACTTGATCCTCGTCAGCGTCGTAGTCTCGTGGTCGGCCTTGGTCAGACTCTTCTCGTGATCCAAGGCATCGATTCGGCCTCTGGCGTCCTTGTTGCCGTGGTCAGCAGCCGCTTCGTACCAGAACCTGGCTTGGCGGAGGTCCTTGGGGACGTGAACGCCAATCTCGTAGTAGTATCCCATGGCAAATTCTCCAGTCGGCAACTTGGCGTTGGCAGCATCTTGAGCGTACTTGAAGGCCAGCTGTTCATTCTTATTGAAGATGCCCTCGTATCCGAATAAGAACCATCTGCTCACACCGAGCGACGCCTCGGGCTGTCCTTGCTGGGCGGCCAGCCCGTAGTAATGCAGCGAGTACGCCGGGTTAAAGTCGCACCCAAGCTGGCATAGCTCGTAGGCCTGACCAATCTTCAACTGAGCCTTGGCGAAGCCAAGGTATGCAGCCTTCTCGATATACATCTTGGCCTGGTGCAGGTCCGTCTGAAGCAGAGCCTCCGGAACATCAATGTCAGGAAGGTCCCTGGCGAGGAGCATTCCATAAACATACGACCCTTGCGGCGCATCCTCGTCCGAAAGGTCAGCGGCCTCCCTAATAAGGTCTAGACCTCGCTGGTAGTCTTTCTGGTGGTTGTGCTGGCCGAGCAGACTCATCATGCCCAACCGGTACATAGCGGCCGAGTCTTTGAGTCGCAGACCGAGGTAGTAGTGCTCGACGGCTTTACTATAGTCGTTCGAGTTCTCAAACAGCATGCCCAGACGATACTCCGCACGCGCGTAGCCAAGCTCTGCCGCGCGCTGGTACTTTGTGTACGCATCTCTCTTGTCAGGTCTGCAGCCAAACTTTCCAAACTCGAGCCACTTTGCTTTCATAAAGAGTGCCTCGGGATGTTCCTGGCCCACCAAATAGTTGACAATGTTGATTGCGTCGACGCGCAGCTCGTGCTCGACATTCGGTGTCTGGCGGCCACTCTCTGGGTCTCGACTTCTGGCATCCATGACAATCTCAGCCCAAGCTAAGGTGTCGCGAGCCCATGACAGCTGCATAGAAACATTATTCGAGTGCAGGACATGTTCGCGGGCGTTCCACAAAATTGTTTCCTTTTCCTCGTCGGTCGGGGGGACGTTATCTCCTGAGAGCTTGGGGAAAGGAGAGAACGAGGGCGCCGCGCTGGGCCGCATCTTATGAGGGTTGTCGCTCGCGCTGTTCTCGTGGAAGGGTCTGTAGGAGTCGGTCGGGCGTGCGCCGGCTTGGGCGTCGGATCCTCCTTTCGGCGGCAGCGAAGGCGCACCAGAATCGGTTGGCTTGAGGACAGAGGACAGGGACGGCTCACGACCGTGTCGGTTGGTAATGTTGTTGCTGGAGACGGCTGCTCGGTTCGGGGAGACTTCGCGGGCTTCAAGTTCCATGCGCTGAAGGTCGTTTTGCATGTTCTGGGGGACCTGAGGCGTTACACTGTAGGAGAGGTGTGGTCAGCATAAGGCCTTCGGGTTAGGAAAAGGGACGGAACAAAGACAAGGAACGGCGCCAAAAACGGCCCCATCTCCAGTTCCAGCCAGCGGGAAAGGAGGGACCCATGGTCGATCCGCCAAGATTAAAATGAGGGAATACGCGTACCGTTGAGGAGCAGGTGCAATGACCTCGGGCATGTAGTAGTCATCGAACCCTCCAGGAACGAAGGTTGCGCCGAATTGTGGCATCTCGTCAGTTGTGTTTTTGGGCTGAGGTGCACCTCCATAAATAGGAGGATATCAGTCAGCGGGGGTTGAGTCGAATGACGTTTAGGTTGGAGCCACCGCCAGCTTTTTCTGTGTGGTGGTCTCTTTGCTACAGTTGGGCCGGCCGCCTTCTGGAGCCCCCGGGAAAAGGAGCTGCTGCTGCTGCTGGCTGTTGCTTCTCGTCGGGCTGATCTGCTTTTTGAGTACGCCCGGCAAGGGTACGGGAGGGGGAAGTAATCCTGAGTGGGGTGGGATTTGGCGAAGAAAAAGATAGGTAATCAAAAACGATCAATAAAGGCTGAGCTGATGTCGGAACGGGCTTGGGAGAATATCCAAGTCCTTGGGTCCTCTTATGAACTGTCTCTGCCTTCACTTGCTCTCTGTCTTGAACCGTAGGGCGAGGATGTCCGAAAGCGGGGTGGAGAGTCCAGGTCGAAGCTCAAAGCATCTGGGATTCTCGACGGCGGGCCCTTTCCTTTTAGCGTGCAGAAAGAGCTGAGTGTCCCCTTTTCTCTTGTGTGCGCGAGCCGGCTAGTGAAACATGGGAGCAGGTTCGGATAGGCGTGCCAGGTGCCAATGTTGCATTTCTCTCTCGGGCCAGGAGTGAGGGGGGAAACTCCCTTCTGTTTGTCCCATTGCCCAGAAAGCGGGACTGACCAGGGAAGTTATACCAGGAGGAGGGGTCGTTGATCTCGTCGCAAGTCGTTGAGTATGCCCATGGTACTCCACCGCCCAAGCCGCAGCACGGGCGCTAGCTCGCTGTGGCAGCATAGGAAACGGATGAGCTGAAGCGCAACAAGCCTTTGTCTTTTTTAGCGCTCGTGGTCATGGGCATGCTGATGTCGGTATGTCGCTGTGCAGCTCCTTGCTGCGGCCTCTCGAATTGAAAGGTACTTCGTCTGTACTTTCCGGGTTGACAGTGGGCGGAGCAGGGGGTGGGCTGGTCTCGAGGATCAGGTACCGAAAGGTAATCGAGGGGGGCCGCTCCAGGATGAGGCATGTAAGACGTTCAATAAGCGTTGGAGACCTCTGTTGTCGGTTTGATGGCCGTCCATGCCGTCAGTGACTAGGATATGTCATCTGACCAGCATGAACAGACGGCGTGGCAGTGGCAGCCCGTGGCCATCCGAAGACAGAGGGCAAGTGTGGTTGAACGCAGAGTAGCGATAAGTAATCCTTTGGAATTCTGACATATGCACATGGCACCCAGGGAGCGCGAAGATCTCAAATCCTTGTGCGCTTGACTGTACGTATTTCATTTGGCCATGGCAGATGCATGCAATCGTGGTGTTGGTAGGTGGAGAAGAGTAGGTACTCCGTAGAGCAAAAGCAGCAGCAGCAGCAGATTTCCGGTTCGGGGGTCCTTCGGGCTCCCGGCTTGATAAAATGAGGTGGTCCCCACGAAAGGAAATGGAAGAGGGCAAAGGAGGGAGATGAGACTAACCAAGGGCTTTTCCCAGATGAAGACCAACGTGTCCATGTCCTCCTCCTTGTGGAAGCTGTAATACCTGACCCTCGGAGATGGAATGTGGTCCAGACACAGCGGCTGTTCCACCACGACTGGCGCTTCTAGTGCCGCGGCCGTTGTAGTGTGGGCCTCGCACGGCACCCGGCGCATGTCCCTGGCCAAGCCGCGCGTACATCGCCCATCGAGCTTTGCACCTTTCGAAGGGTGTCATCCCCTTTGAGTACGGATACCACATATTTTGTTCTTAAATGACAGCAGGGGGTTTCGTTTGGTAGGTGAGAGTTCGGCTGAATCAAGCTAGAACAAAGTTGGGAGGAACCCGCGGGATCGAGTGGCGTATACCGGGGCGGGTGGACGAATGTCGAAACTCTGTTGGCGATGGTGGCTTGTAAATCCGGGTATCGATGCTCCGGAATGCGAGATGGATAGGTCGGTCGATAAGGTAAGGTAGGAAGAATCGCTTGACGAAGACGTCAAGCGATACAATCTGGATGAGGTGGGCGAAAAAATAAGATCAGGTGTGAGGTTGAAGGCTTCCATTGAGAAGATATTCTTTTTTCTGAAGCAGAAGCAGAAAGAGCAAGACCGCACCATCGCAGGTTGCTGCTTCCTGCCGTTTTTTTTTTCCTGCCATTTTTACCAAATGACGGGAAGGAAGGCCCAAAGGGTCGGTCCTTCCTCCCTCACATGGTTTCAATTGCTACCCGTCCCGTTCTACAACTTAAGCTTGGAAGGCACGCTGAATACTCGTTCCTTCCTACCTACCGAAGGTAGAGGTACCTCAAGTAGATGCGACACGGCGATATGCACGGAGAGCAACACGACGGGAAGGTGCATCTGACCGAGACGAAGCAGCCAATCATTCTCATCATCTCAGTCATCGGTGGTTTAGATGAGCAATAGAAGACGTGCTGTCGCGACACCGACAAGGCGGCAGCGTTGCGCTGCAGTCAATCCCTCCAATTCCACCTCATAAGGTATGTTACTGTGTCAGGGCCTTTGGTGGCTGCTTGCTGCATCGTGTTACAGAACGTGCAGAACACCCCGCCCCCATGTCCTGCCCCTGTAAGGGAGAAGAAATCCATGGAGGAATTCCAATCAGGCATTGGATGCATCACTGGAGCCTGCGCCACTGTCCGACCGTTGACCCCAGAGGCCCCTCTCAATCTCACAATCGAAGGCGCCTTTTTTCATCCATTGCATTTCATTGTGCCCCATTATCCGTACTCAATACGGTCATTTCATTTTCATGCCTCTTCTTATGGGATCTCATGTAAACAGTACTGACCACCCTCATAATATCAGTCAATCCATCTCCCTCTCGTCTTATTATGAGAAGGTGAGAATGATCCTGTAAATGTCCATGAGAAACTCACTCTCCAAGCTTAACCAATCACTTGCAGTCCGGGTGTTGATTGGCAGTGAATAACATTCACACCACACAGTCCCAAAACTCAATCAAAGGTCCTCCACTCGGGTATCTCGCGTTTCCCTGCGCAGCCCGCTTTGCTCAGCCACAATGTCAAATTCGAGAATGTCTTTTTTGCTCTGTGTTTCCAAACATAGAAACAGACCCTTGCTGCTTGCATTTCTCGAGTGACCAATGAGTGACTTTGCATACCTTACCGCAGCTGCCCGTCCCGTCCTTTGGGGGCCAAGTCCCCGATCGCAATCGGAATCGCTTGTCTCGTTATCGTTCGTTCCACTGCTTGGCGGCAGCTTCATGAGTGATATGAATTTGGATCGATTTGCGCAAGTCTAAACGACTAACATTGAAATAAAAGGGATATAAGACAAACTCATTCGAACTCATAGCCTTCAAAATAATGACACTATTCCGACATGGATTCGGGTACATCGGAAAGGAATACAGGTCACCTGATAACATCGACTATCACCAAATTTACTATGGAACAAAATGCAAAAAAGCAAGCTATACATGGCATTATGTAGGACCGTGAGCCAACATACGCTTCCACCATTCAAGGTTGGAATCGTACCGCTCGGCCATCGACTACAACGGACGGTGCTTGTTGAAGATACTTTCACCTTTGCTCACTATATACCTCTCAACGCCCACCAAGTGAAGGTCGGCTGTTAAGCAAAGGGCTCATGCTCACAAACCAGAGTCTTCTAGTCTACCTTACCATAAGATCTCACTCTCAATCCCTGATTATATGTAAGTGCGTGTGGGTGCAATGCACTGAGGATCATCGCAGCACTAACTCATACCATGTATTTCTGCTTGGCACTCCGAATTTCCCCAAACCCACGTCATAGGTGCCACAACGGCCATCATCCGATCCAACCCGTCCCATCTTTCCACCTAGAAGTAACCGTCTTCGACCAGGCCGTGCCCTGTTCTTCGAGCCACTGAGTGTAACCTTGCCCAAGTAAACTCCAGAGCCGATACTCAACAGCATACTTCATCCCCATCGCGATCCGGAGAGACGAGACGAACGCTCTCTGGCTGCAGTGTGGAAGCATCGCTCAAAAAGAGATCCCCAATGTTTCTAGGCTCCATCTGCCCACCATCGACACGTGTTTATTCTGCAAGCTGCTTCTCCGGGACCATGTTTCCGTTTAATGTGCTACTGCTGCTGCTGCTGCCCACTAGGAACTATTTAGCCGCGCGTATACCTAGCGCCGTAGACTCCAAAGGCTCATGTGTCATCAGCGCCTGGATTCGGTTCCCGACGGGTGGTTTGCGGCAGATCGACAGTTTTGACCCAATCTTAACCCACGCATGCTTACTGTTTTCGTCCTCTATCCGCCTATCACTTATCAAAGTCACCTTCCTCTGCTGACCATGCGGACTTCATGGATCCTGGAGCAGAAAGATTATTGTCCTCCGCATTACTCAGCGCGATGTCTCAAAATGGGGTTGCTGTGATGTTAGTTTCCACATCATGTAAGCGCCTTCTCTTGCGGTGTACGTTTTCGCCTGTTGTCGAGTCTGTCGGCATCCCATGCCGGCACAAAGACTCTAGGAGGGCAAACGAGAAGCTCTCATAGTATGCGTTGTCTCAACCATCAAGACAAGCGAGGTGGGCCGCAATCCCCATACCAAACGTTGAGTTAAGATCTCAGAGGTAGTCAGGGGTCCCGTCTTATTGATCAACGGCGAAACAATTCTTGCAATCTCCCTCCTCTATAATGACCATCTGACAAAGCTACTTATCAGTGGTCGTCGTACGCGGATTATTTAGGTCCAAGACCATCAAAGAATAAGGTAGAGCAAGGTATATTGCTGTCTAATCCTTTCGCTTGTCCTCTCAAGCCTTTGACCAGACCATTCAATTCAAGAAGAAACCAGTTTATTGTCTACTGAGCAAGGCTTGGAGTAACAGTCTATCCCAGTACCGGACCCCGGATCTCTTTCCCCGCTGCTGGTCCAGCCCTTCCCAACCTTGCAGACCATATAGTAGAACCACCACAACCTATCCCAAAGTCTTCCCAGAGACTACCCAAACTTATACGAACAGAGTCTCTAAGAACCATTGGAACCACCACCAGTGTTACCGCCCTTACCAACACCACTAACAACGCAGTGTCCAAGAGACGGGTCACACTGCCTCTGCGGCGACCTGCGCCCGAACCCGCCGCTAACCTGCTCGGCCTCGAGCGCCTCCATGCCGCGGGCGGCAACGGCGGAGTGCGAGGCGTCGACTTTATCTTCGGCGATGACGTCCCCGAGCTGAAGATCGTCGCCCTCGTGCTCGGCGAGGAAGAAAGTGTTGGCGGGCTGGGTGCCGTCGCAGCTGGCTTGGGCGACGACTTTGCCCGCGGTGTCGGTGCAGTAGACTTTTGCTTCGGCCGAGGCGGCGAAGAAGGCGGCGGCCGCGATTTGGATGGTGGGGAGGGTGATGTGTTGGGTCTTCATTGTGGATGATTTGGAGTTGTCTGTTTTTGGGAAGAGCAGAAAAGGGGTTGAAGTTGTTGGACCTAGAGAAAGCGAAGGTGCTTTGGAAGATTGTTTGTGATCAGAGAGATGGTTGTTAAAAGTCTTGAGTGCGTGATGAAGAGCAAAAGGAAGATTTTCATTACAGGATCAAGGCCTCCTATTTATGTCATTCGACAGGACAACTGTGATGGATGAGATGGTGAGGCCTTCTCGTTACCCATACGGGTAACAGGTTGCGGCGCAAAGGTTCGGCCACGCCGTAGACAGACTTGAGATTCTCATGATTCCCCGATCGTACCTCACCGTCATCTGACTCAATTATTTCCGAGTTCAAGAACTTTGAACGGCAAGATTTCTGTCTTGCTTTGCCTGTGTCATGAAGCAGTTTGCCAAGGTTCCCTTTGCAAACGAGCCCGACAATTGCCATCATCGTGGCTCTACCGTATACAAGTTAAGCTTGAGAATGACTTAATGTGGATAAACGGGCGTATCTCTTTCACGCCGGCGGCATTGTCAGGGTTGGTCATAAGAATACCGGCAGCGTTCGGCCGTCTCGAGACGCCGAGTTCTCAAGGATGTTTCCAGACCTGTCTACTCTGGGGAATTTCTTTCAAGATGTCGCCGTAAGAACAAGGAGGCCTTGGTTCGTTCTGTCATGTGTTCAATATCAAGGAACAACGTAATGCTAGTCATAAGTGATACTGCCTTACGAATCTACCCGGTTTCTCGGTTCACCTTACAGGCTCACTTACACAAGGCCACCCTGATAGCAAAATGCCACTTTCCTTCCACAATGTCTATCACGTGTTCCAATAAGTCGTAGTAAGGCCCCCAATGAGCAATAGAAGTAGGGGCCACGATCGCCGACTTGGAGCTGTTGTTCGGAGTAACCCGCGTTTCAAAGGGTTGAGGATCATGTTGTCTCGGCTTGAACCGATGATACTCCGCATGTTCACGACTGCCTACTTGGCTCAGAGACTCAACATTTTTCGCCCTCGCCCCACTGAGCTCAAGTCATTCAACAAGCAAAAGTCGTGACAACCCAAAGCCAGTGATTGATTCAAGTTCATGAAAACAATAATTCCCGAGTTTTGAGAAGTTGCCGTGTTTCATTGACTGTAGAGTCCAGACCGTTAAGGCACTGGGCATTACTCTACAACAAAACAAGCTTCCGCTAGACTTTTGATAGCCGCCAGGGCTCCTACCTACATTGCTATCTCTTGCGGCAATTGTTTCCGGTTTCCCCACGTAAATGAAGATCTTAGCGGGGTTGGCATAGAGTCATACTGTTCGCGGCTCTTTGCATGCAACGACTCAAGTTTCGCGAGACGCATTTCCGAACATGTCAATGTGATTCGCTTAAAACTGCCAATAAACTCAATTATTCAGAAGTTTTCACTTTGACAAACGAAGTAGGTAATGAAAATGTTGAAAAAATGTTGAAAATGCGAGAGCGAAACTTTGCGGCAAGTCTTCTCGGATCGTCACGCGTTGATTCGATTGCCAAAGACTCGATAGCTTCTTACTTTCAAGACCCTCAACCAACACCAGGTCATTGACGTGAAATGACTCCTTCAATGAACTGCAAGCCACACAACTATAACCAGCCGCCATCGCGGCGAAGCCGAGGTGGGCATGTGGTTGTCGACCAAGATCGCCACTGGGTTAATGCGCAGCGCCAAGACCACAGAGGTTTGCAGAATTAATAGCAATTCTAACCAAATCTATTCGAATACGGCAAATAAGCAGATCAAATCGTTTTCCCTGACTCGCCGACCCAAGGTGCCGGTAGCCCACATGAGTTGCGTTACTCATGAGTCGTTGGAATAATACAGCGAACCAATGCGCGTTTCGCGACTTACACGGCTTATATTGCCTGTGTGGACAGAAAAAGATAGAGATTAGCGCGCAGTGTCCGTGAGTTGCGGTTTCATCTTATTCTTAGTGTGCAACCATTTCCGTAATACGGTTAAGCGGCAACGTGCCTTCGGGGGCGGAAAGAAAGAGAGAGAGGGCAGATCATAATAGGATCCTGAGGAGATGTCAAAGCTTCTAGAAAGCCTCGTTTGAATTAGACTTCTTCTAGCGGCAAACCTAACTGGAGACATTTCCCATCCACCCATCAAACCCCAACTCAAAATAAGTATCCGCAGGATCGGGACAATCAGAAAGGTGTCCGTATCAGAATTCAGGGTGTTGGCGGTTAGGGGTGATCCCCGCCTCATCCGAACTTTGAGTAGGCCGGGCGACTGCCCGAGGGGAGATCTGCTGGTGAATAAGTATATGAGACTGCCCTTTGAGGGCAGCGGCCAAGCATCGTCGTGTCTGTCCTTTGAGTTCCTTGTTCTACTCTGCCTGGCTTTACATCGTCCATACTTACCATTCTCTTTCCCACGTCATTCTGAACCAAAAGAACAACAAAGATGCGCCGCGTTCCAGTACAAAAGAGGCCAAACGCCACCCGCCTGGTCCAAAGCCAAGGCCTCGTCTTCGCAGACCTCGTGGCCCCCGGCGCCTCGGAGCCGTACTGGCCAGACGACCGCTACTACTCCTTCACCGAACAGGAGATGAACCTCCTCGAAGAAGCCGCCAGAGACGTGTTCGCAATGTGCTGTGAAGCAGCAGACTACCTCGTAGAGCACCCAGACATCATCACCAAGAAAATGGCGGTCCCCGCCTTCGCCCTGAAACAAATAAAGGCCTCGTGGGACCGCGAACCGGCCTGGGGCAGCATCTACGGCCGCTTCGACATCTGCTTCGGCGGGCTGGAGCACCCGGACCCGCGGCTGCGCGTGCCCAAGTTCTACGAGTTCAACGCCGACACGCCGACGTCGCTGCTCGAGGCGGCGTCGATCCAGTGGCTGTGGATGGAGCAGACGGGCCACGGCAACGACCAGTTCAACAGCATCACGGAGAAGCTCATCGAAGGGTGGAAGCGCAACATGACGCTCGTCGAGAAGGAGCTGGGGCATAAGCCGACTGTCCACTTCGCCGTTGGCGAGGGCGAGGCCACGGGGGAGGACGCGATGAATACCATGCTCCTGATGGAGACGTGCCAGCAGGCGGGGTGGATGACAAAAGCGCTGACGATGGAGGAGATTGCGAAATCCAAAAAAGACGGGCGGTTCTATGATGCGCAGGGAGAGCACATCGACGTCATCTTCAAGCTTTATCCGTGGGAGTATATGGTCGAGCAGCAGTTTGGCGAGGCGTGTTTCGAGGACATGGAGAACATTGGCAAGCGCGACGAGGTAGGGAACTACATCGGAGGAACAGTCTGGATCGAGCCGCCGTACAAGCTCCTGTGGAGCAACAAGGCTGTCTTTGCTGTTCTCTGGGACATGTTCAAGGACGACCCGCGGGGGAAATGGCTTCTTCCCACGTACTTTGACAACGAGGCGCCAGCCTCTATGACGAGTTTTGCGCGCAAGCCCATCTTTGCGCGCGAGGGCGCCGACGTGGTTCTCAAGAAGGACGGCGAGATCTTGCAGGACGCGTCGACGGGAGACTATGGCGCGGAAGGGTACATTGTGCAGGAGCTCGCCGTGTTACCCGAATTCAAAGATGCCAAGGGCAGCTCGTGGTATCCCGTGCTGGGTATGTGGTTCGTCGACGGCGATCCCGTGGGCATGGGGATCCGGGAGGATGGCACGCCCATCACGACCAATGCGTCTGTGTTCATCCCGCATTCGATTGAGGATGGACCCGTAAACTACATGAGGCAGAAGATTCCTGACCAAGAGGAGATTGAGAACTTGTTGCGGGTCGAGCCGTTCTTTGATTCGTTTGACAAGGAGGAGAACGAGATGATGAGCTATATCAAGAAGATTGTAATTTCGTAACAGGTTCATTCTGGGGGCGAATGTCCTTTCGGCGTGTTTTTCTTGGGAGAGACTCGAAGTCTCCTTTGGCGGGAATGAAATGGAGAAAAATACAGTTCCTCATGACTTTGATAATCGCCTCCTGATAGTTAGCAATTCAGTATGAGAGCATGGCATGACATTTGGAACTCCGGTTTCAATGAGCATGCCGGAACTCAGAAGAAGTTGTGAACCAAAGTCCCGCGAGTATACTCATTACCCCAGAGAGAGTTCCCCATGAGTGCCGAGACAGGTCAAGTCCGAAAACCCTGCGAATACCTCCCGTTGGCGAGTGTAGAGCAGAGTCGTCTCGCTACTTGGTATTCAGAAGCAGCACGTATCAGAAACTAGACGCGCGATGCGCAAGATGCCCGGCCTCGGTGAGACTGGATAGTTGACCTCCGTTTCGCTTGCATCCTCGTCGACAGAAGAAGATTTTGACCAGATACGCTGGTTTGCCATGTAGGAAGAAGCTTCCGCCAACTGCCCGAATGCCATACGCGTCCGTGATGCCGACTTGCCGGATGGGAGGTGCGGGAAGACAAGCAGGACCTTTCCCAGATGCTGCCGGAACCCGGCACGGCGGGGTGCCGGGAGTTGGGGAAATCTGAAGCGGATCCAGGGACCGGGCCGGGCGATACCTTCGGACTTCGCATCACGTGAACCAGCTGCATTACCTCAGCAAAGCACTCGACGCTTCCGTTGATGACCAGCTCCCAGGCAGCTCCAAAATTGCCTAAACTTAGAAAGGCTAGCGCCGTAGTGGGCAGGACCCCTGCACGGACCCGGCCAGCTTGACGGCACCTTTCGTCAGCCTCTCAGCCTGCTAAGCCAAACACCCAAAGCGTCGAACCTACCTTGACCTAAGCATCTGGACACTCCAACCTTTGACCCGATCAACACCACCACCACAAACCCACGTCTCTCCAATCTTCCTCCACGAAACCACAACGAGGCAGACTTGTCAATCGACGTCCAATAACAACAAATACCTGCCTTCGTTCCACGACCGTTGCCGACATCAGCCCCCGACAACCGGAACACCACCAACCAAATCCACCCCGCAACACATACACACACATCACAACCACCACCAAAATGGCGGACCGCAACCTCCAA